TGCCGCAACATTCCATCCATTAGAGATGAGCCTTCCAGTTCCAAAGACGGCGGAATGCCAAGTCAGTGGGTCGGAAACTGGAGTTGCGCAACAAAAACAAAACTGACCTGTTTGGCGGCCTTTGGCGTTGTATAACGGCGCGGTGTATCGTGTGTCATGTGCCGTTGTGGACACTCGTTGGTCTTTGATATGCAACTTGGCAGTGGAAACAACTGAATGGCTGCTTGGTTAACGTAATTCCATTGTGCTGTAACTTTCTACAGCTGATTGTTATTATTAAACTGAGCATGCCTGCAAATTAGGTTAATTGCTGGGTATGCCAACAGGTACCTTCAATTTTTGGGATTTATTATTTTTTGTAATGGTTGTATGATTTGAAATACCATATTATTAGTTGTAGATCAATCATTGTGAAATATTTAAATTATGGACATGTTATAGTTTCTTACTAGACACTTTATGATTTTATATGGGCAAATTTATTACCAGTGAAAGACGTAAATATGTTAGATACGATTTTCATTCAATCAAAGCTAAAATGTTTAAATCTACAACATTTCATTAGACCCCAAAAAATAGTGAGGCCGATAAGCTTTAAAATATCTTTAATCATTTATGTTTTTCATCTCGATTCCAAGTGAGGTCGTTGCCAGACCCAGATGCCATTTGGACATTAATGATGCTCTCTAACAAAAGGTCACCGTTGTATGGTAACAAGGCCAGGGTTTGGACCGTTCCCTTTGAAAACGTAAAAATACCAATAGCGTATATAGACTAAAAATGCAATCCGATTGCAGTCCAGCCCTACTAGTGTAGCAGGCTTGCATCCATGCAGTCTGGCTAAACTCCCAGGTATTAATTGACCATCAAAGGGAAATTACCGCCATGTTATTAATAGGTTGTAACTCCAAACTATAGCTAGATGAGCTTGTCATTTCCCATTGTGACATAAAATAGTAACATTTACAAGTGAGAAAGCAATCAAAGCAAATTTTAGTATTTCCGTGGAAAATTCGTTCTATCATCTGAGGTCGGGTGAAAAATCATGAGACTATTCTGTTTTTATATAATTATGTAATTAATAGCAATAGCTTTACGATAAAATCAAATATCTTGTAGCGTTTGTGTACTCATTATTGCTGAATGTGCTGTCTAGGGGCCACTGATGGAAGATAATGTTATGGTTCTTGGTGTTGCATGAATTTGCATAAATAAGCCTATTCATACTATGTACAGGCATAAAAGAGTAAAGACCAACTACTTTATTTAGTACAAAGTGAAGTTAGTGGAGCGATTGAATTAGTTTTAAACCCTTTTTCTATCGAGGCAAAAGTGCGATTCATTGCAATTTGGTCCTCCTGTAGATGACAGATGGGTGCAACGTCAGCGATGATCTGGTCAGGTGGACCGTGATATCGTAGTAAATCTGAGCGGACTGCCTGCGGTAACTAATGCGGTAACGTGTGGTAAATAAGGTGGTAACGTGTGGTAACACCTCCTGCACTGCATCATGCTTCCTCGTAGCCCGGGTCGGAGGGCGAGGTGCAGTAAAGGAGGTCTACGATCACCCTGAGCATAAGGCTATAAACTGCTGGATCAAAGTTGACTTTGGAGTCAACTATCTACTTGTTTACTTTTCAACTTGTGTTTCAATTATAAAAACTAGAGTTCACCCCGTGGTCGAAAGCTTGACCAAAATATGCACAGACTTCTCTGTCTTCACCCCTCGCTTTAAATAAAACATGTGATTGGAATTTCTTCCATTTGTTTTGCTTTTCTGTTTATATTTCGTTGTTATTTCGTCACCAGCATGCCAACCCATAAGGCCCGTGTTATGTTTTCAAATTTTAAATTCATTTTTTGTGATTATTTTTGAGCCAATTTTATTTTATAAAGGGATTCTGTGCATATACAGGCAGATATCTTTCTAACAGTATGCGTAGATTTTCCCTGTGATGCACACCAGCTAAGAAATAAGGTTATCAAGAAACATGCGTGCCTATAATAATAGGATGCGTTTAAAACAATCGTTATTGAGTTTTCTTAATTCGTTGTAAACATACACTCAATAAAGTTATTAAAGAAAGTGTGTTCTGAATGATCCTAAACCACATAGAAAATTAAATTAAATAGACCTTCTGTTTCAATTGAAAACTAAATCATGTGTTTTTAATATTGTTATAACATTTATTTTCATAACATGACGATAATACATAAAACTATTGAAAAGAGGAAAAATATTAAAAAGAAAGTATTTTCCGACGAACAATCTGGTACTTAGGCTGTACGTTAAAATGATTTAAATAAAAATTGAATTTGAACTTAATTCATTATAGATCAAATTATTCTATATAGACAGTGCAAAAATATTATACTATGCATATTTTACGTAGCGGAGAAAGTAAGGGGGGCAAAAACCCCCGGAATAGCGGGAGGTCGGATTACACAGGGATAGGCTGATAGGCTGATGTTCGCACTGAGAACTGCCACTTTCACTCTAGGGCACCGGACAGCTGAAATTAATCGTTATTAGGAAGAACATCCCGGAACATATTCTAAAGATTTATGCTAAAATTAGAAAGGAGAGTGTATTTTCAAAATATCACAGTCACGATAGTATGATCAAAGTGCGTAGCTTAAATCGATACATTGCTTAAATGCTCTTCCAAGTGAACAAAGAGTTTTTTTTTATTTATACAACAATAAATTAACAGTAATAGGTACATCAACAAAAAAAATGTATGTGCTAAGAAAACCTGTGACCGTTATCTTGGCGATTCGCTATTTCATTTATTTGACCGAGGAATCAGACATGGTATGGTAATTAATTTAGATTATTTAATCTTTTGATATATGTCACTATCAAATACAAAAAAATATCAAGTTTAAGTCTTAAAATATGACGAACGTCAAATGAACAATGCAACGTACAATACACACAACATGATTAAATAACCATCTTCCTTAACATTCAATACAATTAACACTGTATTGTATACTATGATTTACATACCATACATAAACATTAAAAATTACAAACGAGGATGTTTAGCGTACTTTAAACTATCAAGTTCCTAATTAGTAAGAATCGACTTCCATATTTTTTAATCAAACACAAACTCGTAGTAACATATATTTAGACTATATGCTAAAACCTCTATACGAACCACAATACTAAGTCTGAACAGTCAGAATAACAATGAAAAGTTATAACTTTAAGCCACTCGGGGAAGTAGGAAGTGTTCTGTTATAATTATAGGTTGTCGCAACCCATAATGCTGTTCACCGGGTCTAGAGGTCTTCCGAGTCCTCGGGCTCTGCCCCAGTGGCATGTAACTGGCCGGGGCTTTGCCCTACTGGCACGTAACCTCCTAGGCCTGTGCCCTGGTGGATTAGTTAACTAATTGGCAGAATTAATTGGCCATTCCGTCTTGTATAGTTTGATAATACCTGTTAGCGGGCACAAGCGATTTCGGGAGATTTATCACGTTTTAGTCAGCCGAGCTCACAGAGGAAATAATAACATTTTTTTCTCTGCTCTTTGATGGAGGGTGGAATTTTTTAGTTACTTTAAATGCAGTAGACTTGAGCCCAAAGAAAAAGGTTGATGAATTGAATCGTGTTTTTGTCATATTTGTTGGGGTGTAGTCACAACTATTGTCAGAGTTTATCTCTTAACTAAATTTTAAAAATATTTTAAAAAATTATGAAAATAAGGTACTTTCCTGTTAAAGGGAACATTCATTATTATCGATGATTTTTTCTCGATATATCGATATTTTTGTTTTCTGGTCCATTACAAATTGATAACTGATCTTGTTTAGGCTAAAATAGACTGTTATATGGATTAAGAAATGAAACTGTTCTAAGCTAACCTAACATAACCAACCAAACGTGTTGTACTATTTAAAATTCCTTTTGATAACAGAAAAGGCAAGGTAAACACGGAATTTTTAAATGTTAAACAGCAAGTTTGGTTAGTTATGTTAGGTTACTTTTTTTTAGAACAGTTTCATTTTATTATTGTTTGTTGATACCGAACAATATTAATCGTAGTTGTCAGCTGATATGTTTCAATTTGTTAATATCGATTTATCGAGAAAAAATCATCGATAATAATGAATGTTCCCTTTAACAGGAAAGTACCGAAAATACTGCTAACTATCAATATTTTTAAGTATTGACATACTGTATTTTAACCATCATAAATAATCTACAACTAAGGTTCTATTTTGAGTAGAATCAGTTTTTCATATGGAAGATTTATACAGTAAAATGTAGGAAAACTCGTTAGGGAATCGTTTGTGTGACAAAAAAAGGGTTTCCACTATAAGCCGAAAGTGTGGTCTAGCCTCTAAATCGTGTCTCAAAGTCATTCATTCTTTGAACGAAAAATAAAAGAGGGGAAAAAGAAATGAGGGGCTTCAAGGGCTGAAAAATTATGTTAGAGCGCCTTTTTTTTTCAAAGCAAAACAATGCTATTTTTGTTAACTTAGCAAACGTATCGCTACAAAGTTTCTGCAATTTACAGCCTGGTATTGTGTGATGGTATTAATATGTGGATTTTACCACGTAAATTGATGTTTGAATTTTAACTTTGGTCAATCGTGTGAAGAAAATTCCTACTCATTTCCAACATTACCAACGTTGACTATAATTTGATAGATAATTGATATAGACCAACGAATTTAGGAATTCGTTTTGAAAACTTTACGAGTCCTTAAGAGTTTATTATAGAAAGATGACCCCAATTACTTCTACGTGTTTTCATTATTTAAATTCAGGGTTTCCGGTTTGAGACGGAAGCAGATTTTCGGGTCCTGGTCCTGCGATGGTCAGTAGTGGTCAGTGGATGACATTTGCCAAAGGTCGCGGGTTGGGGCGGGGTACAGGCGACATCTCAGGAAGCTCCCACCGCACCCCTAGAGTTATGTCAGCTGTGGGGGGAGGGGGGCTCACCTGACAACGTATATATACGTTCTAGACCGCTTCTGTGATATCACCAGTCAGCTGTTCTGTGTGTGACCGCTCCAGCAACCATGGCGTCCCTTCACACACTTGTAAGTACAGTGGGTTCTAAAAATATAGTTTGGTATACAAAAGGATAAATGTTATTAAAACAAGTAAAATGTTTAGTTTGGAACATAAATTGCTGCAGTTTGTTTAAAAATTTGGGAGGGAACTAACTTGATTCTAAAAAATTAAGAGGGTGTAATAAAATAATATATTTGTCAATGGATCTTAGGCATATAGTTTCACGACAATTATTATAATTTTGTTGATTAAAAATAAATTGAAATTAGCCAATGACAGTAAAACATTAAACGAGATTTTTTCAATAATAACACAAGCAATAGGTTTTGTTTTAGAATTTAAAATATGTAAATGTTACACATTAATATCATTTCAACATTCCACATTACGTATTTTTCCAAATCACGTTAATTTTGTGTTTTTTGTAACTATTATTGTAAATATGACAAATAATAATATTTACCTATAAAATACTCTAAACACTTAAAATGAAATTAGTTATTCGCTATAATATTAGTTATTGATGAATAAAACTTACTGAAAAAGTCCTTGGCTTACCATTTGATACTTAGCTTCAACATGATTTATTGGCTCTGTTGAAATAATATACAAGCAAATCGAATTGTTTTAGCACATCAGGTAACTATAAAATTAGTAAATAAACCATAAACCCAAAGTAAATAATGTTACACTACGATTACGTTGATTATCACGCACAAGAATATCCATATAAAATAAATATCGATAGTATTTTATATCTCAGATAATTGTATTTAGTATTTTGAATTTTTCAATTGTGTTGTATCAATCGATCTATATGGCCTTCTGTCGTGGCAAAATACATTGGCTTCTCATTTTTCTCGACAGTGTTTGTTAACTTGTACAATAGTTGGTTTAAAAAATTCACATCAACATTATATGCAATGGCAATAGTGTTAAGCATCATAAGATTTATGCACCATTTAATAATACAGTTACAGAACAGGAATGTTAACAATTTACGCTTACTTATTCAATCAAACAAAATGTTTAAAATATGTTTCTTTACGTCTAAGAAATGCCTGGAGGATTTCTAATATCTCAAATATAAGTAGCAATTATAACATAGGTTCAATACATCACATGAAATATGTTCAGTCTTTTAAAGAAGTGAGAAAATAACTAATGTTTGTTAAATTTTCCTTTCTATGGCATATAGGTATTCTACAATAGACTGAAATTCTTCACAAGAATCCAACAAATAAATTAGCTTGCAATTGATTTGAAAACAATCGTTGTGACGTACTATATTTTCTTAATATTTCTCGAATACATTTTAGTACTTTTATCAGCATGTTTTTGCATTTAGACTGCTTGAGTTGATGGAGTCAACCATTAATACCGTGTTTGATTTAAATCTCACTAGACAAACCAAATCTCTCATAATAAGATTAATAGATAATCGTGTAAATGATTTTTAAATAGTACACAATATAAAACTGAGAAACGTCAATATCTTGTCGTTGTTGGTAATCCTACCTGGTACCTTAAAAATTTGTAATGAAAATAATTTGATAGTACCTTGTAAGCTTTTCAAGCGTGTTTGAAATCAAATAGTTTGCTTTCTATTTTAATAATACTCTGATAGTTTGTGTAGGTTTGCATTTCATTATATTTGTCTTGGTTGCAGGTTGTCTTTGTATTGGCTCTCCTGGCAGTAGTCTCCTGCATGCCCATGCCTAACCCTGGTGGCTTTGGCGGCAAACAGTAAGTCAGACTACATACTCTAGAGATAATCAAACAGTGTATTGTAAAACCACACATTTATCCCTGATGTAGGGTTTAAAGTTATCTTTTTTGCACAAGCAGTTTAATAACTTGCGCCCACTTCAATTGATTATAAGTAAAAATAGTTATACCATTTTGTATTGAAAAAGTACAATGTATATCTATATTTATAAAAGAGGAAGTTTGTATATATTTGAACGTTATGGACTCCGAAACCGCTTGACAGATTGTAATGAAACCTTCAGGCATTATTAAGCATTATTCAAGGATGGTTTGTGTGAAGTTTGGTGCAGATCCGTCAAAAGGGCTCCACCCCAGTGGCTCTGGATTTTCCCATGTTAACCTTATGAGTACTTATAATTAAATGGAATTAAAGAATCTTAACAGCTGGTTCAACTAAACAATTTGATTCCGTGGTGTTCAATAGCATTAAAAAGTTAAAAGGTTTACCAACAGGGTGCAGCACTATTATATATTTTTAATTTATGACAACAGCTAATTTGCAACCAAAAGGTGAGTGAGCGTAGCGAACTTTAACCTGGTGGCGAGTTAGCGTAGGAACGAGCTAAACTGAAGGCAAGTGAGCGCAGCGAACGAGCTCCAACCTACAGGGGAGTAATCGTAGCAAACGAACTATTGAGCAATGTGAACGTGCTCATCTTGAAAATGAACGAGCATTTGTCATAAAACCACATTAGGACAGTACGACGTCTGTCGGGCCAGCTAGTAATTTTGTAATGCTGTTTAACATATTATTTCTAGACCCGCGGTAAATATGTTTGAATATATGTGTGTTTATTTCTCACGTAACATATGGACTTCAGATTTCACTTCGACCGGTTAAAAGTTTGTGACTTCTAAATGCAGCTAAATGCACCATGTCTTTAGTTGAGCCATAGCATAATTATTTCACGAAAGATTTCATTTGTTAAATATTACTCAAAAATCAATGTATGTTTCACCACAGTTTACGTCGTTGTTACTCTCCACTCAGTCTAATTAATCATTAGGATATTTCCTTTAATATAAGGATGGTTTGTGTAGTTTTAATTTTATTACCTGTTGTTTTTACTATGATTTTCTTGACCCATTGCCAATTTATTTATTTCTCTAATAATTCACCAAAGATTTTTCCAACCCAACTTTGCATTTTAGAATACAGGGCTAGGGCCATTGTTAACTTTTAAGCGGGTGAACCAGGGCAACAAATCTCTGCACACACAAATAGGACCAAAAAGTGCAGTCGGGGTGAATATTTTGCCTGGGACCCCAAAATAGAGTATTTTAGCGAACGCTCAACAATTTTAAGCGTATAACCCCAATGAATTGCATCTCAGTTTAACCTATTAAGCTATTATTATGTATCAGTGAAAACTAAAAGTCTCTATCTAAACTCAGAACAAAACTGTAGTCATTTAAAATTTGCATCAGTCCCACTTAAATGTGTTTTTGATACATTTCAAATTACCACCATGTAGTACTGGTTTGAGATAGATTCCTCTGGTTTTCGCTGATATTCTTACTCTCATCCATGGGGCTTTACGTTTGAAAATTTTAAACTGCCTCAAATTACCCCATTTTGGGACCCAGAAAAAATTTTCAAATCGGCAAAGAAATGTATTTTTAAACTATATTAAGATTTGTGGAAAAATAGTTTTTCTGGCTAGATCCATTGAAAAGCTTAAAGGCGGTATTCATTCTTTTGCCTAACCCTGTAAAGATCGTTTATGTATCTTTATGTGTATTTCTGGTTGTTTCTAGTGATCAACTAATGACCCTAGAGTCTTTCCTACGATTTGTCTAGTCCAACTAGTGCTACATAGCGTTAATAGTTTCTACAACATTGTGTACACTAATCTGTGTGGTTGTTTACAGTGAACATTACATTATCCACGTGCCGTACCACGTACACACAGTGCACCACTACCACAAGGTGCCCGTGTACATCCACAAGGAACATCACTACGTCAAGTCTCACGGATGGGACTGGGACTGGTAACTATACTTCCCTGTACTCTTATCCCTAGTCTATTAGGAAAAATTTAAATATGTGCTTCATACGGTATCTTAAAAAATTAGTCTTTACTAAAGCGTAAATCCATTTTAAGTATTTTTTTTTTAGAAATATTTCAGTTAGGGTTGTCTGCATGCTTTTGTTAAATGAAAACTGTCTAGTATAAACAAGGCCAATATGTCACGGTCCTGTGGAAACGAAAACGTGCTTAACACTAAAACGTTAGTCTTTCTATGTTACAAAAACTTAAAAAAAAATACGATGCTACCATCTTAATTCTAGATAAACTTAAGATTTGATTGAATTATCTGAAAAAGCATCAACACTAAAATTAAGTATACAAATACTATCGCATTTTGATCCCTTTGTTCACTAAATATATTGATTGCATAAAAAAATATATACCTATTTTTGGATTATCTTCAATCACACAATTTTCTCCCTCATAGGAAAGTTTGTAAAAAAGCTTAAGATGATTGTACTTTTACACTAATACCGGTTCATCCTCAATCTAAAAAATAGTTTTCTAATTATATGTTTTGGATTAAAATAATAACGAATTCAACTTAGTTCTTAAATTTCAGAATATATTTCATAGGTACTTAAAGGTCATAATTTGTAATCAATAGCTTAAAAACTAATTATTTACTTGTTTTTAAACATGTGTTTTCATTTTACAAGAACCCCATTACCCCGTCACTAGTTTCAAATATCTTCCAGATAAGCAACTAACTGCTGTAGAACTCTACAGGAAACTGCATGCCTCATAAAGAGCATATTGAATCAGATTGCATCTTAAAATGTCTGAAATAAATTGTTGCTAGTCATGGAAGTAAGTGAAAACATCAATAAAATCAATTAAGCCATAACAATTTCCGCTACGTAAACGTTACGTGGGTGCCCATGATAGACAAGTACCGTAATATAGCCATTAGATTGTCATCAGCTATTAGTGTCTACGCGTGGACCAACCACTTTCTAACGGTTTTTATACTAATCTGTGCAAATCAAACTACTTTCCATTAGCAGCCTGATTATTAAAATATTAAAATTTATGTTAATGCATATAGAGTATGGGGGGATTTGTTTTGGTTTTCCTTGAATAGATAAGGAAATGTTCAGAAATGTGTAGAAACTAAGTTGAAATCATTTTCATTTGTTCAAACATTTTTTAAGTTCCATTTTCTGTGTATCCTTTCAAAGAAATATAATGTAAGCTTGAAAACCATGTCATACTTCCTGGGAAGTAAAATGATTTAGAATGCTTTCCTCGCTATTTGAAAGTCACCAATAATTAAAGATAAAATATATTTGCTACTTTGAACGATCAGACGAGACAATCTTTAGTTCCCGTTCTTCAATGGACCAGTTGTTAATAATAAAACCTTTACCAAATTATTTTTACAGTATAACTGGATAAGTTTTAAAATCATTACATTTTTTACATTGAACAATAATATTTTCAAAAGTCGATGCACTACCTGATGCTCAACGTGTCAATTTGTAATAATACCTAGTATTTTATTTTATACTAAAGTAAAAGACTATTTAATATATTTATCATTCAATTTGACATTACTTTAGATTAAGCATGAACTCTGTAACATAAATTGTAAATGCTAACATCTTTTATTACCCAACCAAATATTTGTGTACACAACTAAAATGCGGAAGAGAAAATTTAACTTTATTATTAGCTAACTTTACCCAATAAAGCATTTTTTACCAATGATTTAAAACACTACTTGAGTATGCAATGGCAATAGCTATAGTCTCGTCATTGTGTAGTTATAAAAAAAAATTATCACTCTGTAACCAATTAAGATCTCTGTTTGTTCCAGATCTCGTGATTGTCTTCACTATCTCTCGCCTTGTCTCCCTCACCCAAGTACAACCCCGTGTCGTACCTGATCCCTGTGTTACCAGCTACCAGCTACCAGCTCACTTCTAGCTTTAAGTCCTGTTGTAAAGTCTGTACCATACATTTTAAGACTTGTTAAATATAGCTTTATATTTTTTTGTATTTGTGACATTGTTTTTTTACCTTGTTTTATAATCCACAAATTGGAGTTTTAAGTTTTTAACTGAATGGAACTGGTCTCGTTACTGTCAAACGTTTAAGAGAAAAGGGGAACTCAATAGTGCTTCTAGATGTTGTGACTTCCCATCCAATGTTAAAATTGAAGCCAAAAACGTGGTGTATTCTGTCCAGTAAACCTATACCACCACTATAGTGGTCTGTATTCTTTGGCCGTACCCCCTGTAGATATGGTCTTGCTCTTCAAATCTTCGCTTCAAACTTTCACATTGGATGGAATGTTAAAATTACATTTTTATAAATATTGATGATTGGGTTTCAAAGACTGAAAATTTGTAGGATAAGGAAAAAAAACTCTTTTTTTCTTCATGTAAAATGTTTATAAACCCATAACCTTCCTAAAAAGTAATATTACGTATTTTTGTAACCCTAATGATTCCCAAAAACTTAATAATCCCCCATATAGTTCAGTGCCAATCTCATACGATAAATCAAAGGTTGTCTGCTATATACAAAGGCTTGCATAATTAGTCATTACATATATTTTTTTAAATTATAAATGAATTAAACTTATATTTTTTATCATTTTAGACCAGAGTCACTATTTTACTTTATATATTAAATGCTAACAAACATTCCCTAGTTCTCAAAATTATCTTTCTTTCAACACAAAAATCATGAAAATCCGTCGAGTGGTTGATGCAGAATCGTGAAATAAAAAAACACTGTTTCGTTTTAATATCATAGATTTTTTTATCATTTTAGACCAGAGTCACTATTTTACTTTATATATTAAATGCTAACAAACAGCGTAATTAAAAGAGTCAATTCACATAGCTTTGTATTAGACGATAGTCTAAAATGTTATTCAAAAGTGTAATATGGTAGGTCAAAGATGCATCTATTATATTTCTCAATACACTATAAATAGCTCATACAACTTTTGGAATAGCTAGGCCTAGTCTGGGTCAAAATATTTCTTTTCTGTTTGATAAAAAAAAAAAAACACTATGTAAATGTGTAGCAAGTTTCATGATTTTTTCATTCAAAGATACCAATGGAAGCCCAAATATTCACAAATTAATTTTGAGGACCCCTTTAACTTGATATTCGGCACTTCTAGAAAAAGTTTTGACTAATATGATAAATTAGTAATTCTTTTTACAACTTTTTAAAACTTCATAATTTAAAACCTTATACAAGTAATTCGTGTAAAGAATAAAATATATATCAGTACAGGACCCTTTTAAATGTAAGAACTCCAAGAACATACATCGAATTAAATGGAATTTTCTACCACCATCATTATTATCTTTTTTATCTTTTTTATGATCAATTAAGTTTATTGTTTGACTGCAAAATACTGTAACCGAGCAAAAAACTACAAAGAATGGCTATGTTTACTTTGTTTGTTGTGTTTACTCCTGTTTACTCTTACATACGATTGTTATACGTACAGTGAGCACACTGCATTTTTGCTCAATTGGAACAGCGCCATCACCGAGCTGAAGTAGAATAGACTGCGATGTTTGTGTTTATGCATATAGTTTGTTAATGATCGAGATCAGCTTTGAAAAAAAATCTAGAACCAATTTTTAAACCATCAAGAAGCTACTGACCTTTCTATGGGCCAAACCTACGATTTTCTCCCGCGTTTACACCAAAGCCTTCTACTAAGCTTTCCACTAGTTGCCGCAATTAGTTGTTTTTATCTAAGAAATACAGCAACTTTTTCTGTCTTAAACTAGTGTAGAGACAAGTCTTCTACTCAATTTTGGTTTCCCGTGGAGTTTCGGTAATGATAAAAGAAAGTTTAAACAGTGGAAGATTAGTTGCTGCGCGCTTTGCGCAAGTAACTTGTAAAAAAAACTAGTGAAGAACCGTTTGATTTTATGTCTGATCATTGAAATAATATTCAAAGTCACTACTGGTTATTCTTAGAATGTTTGTTACACTTACGTTGCACCTCACCTCACGTAATCTTCTCGGAGATCAGTTATCAAGTCACTGCCACTGTACCTATCCCTATCCATCAACGAGGGTATCCCCCAATATCTTCGGGCACCTCATGTATACAGTGGCTGGATGACACTGGCAGTCACAGCACTGATAGTGTCTTCTTCGCCCAACATCCTTGTCACTACTGCTTATTTCACTCCAATTCTTTGGCAAAAAGTTGTCAACTGCTTGTTCTAAATAAAAGAAAAACTTTTGGTTCTCCACAAAAAAATGCACCGCTAGTTGCCCTAATGATTTGGAGCAACTTTTAATTGTCAACTTTCTTGTAAACGCACATTAATTAATAAGCTAGTGTATTCATTTGCAGTGCATGGCAAACTATTATAAAAATGCATCATACGTTACATAAAATAATATCATATCATTTTATGAACTTTAATCTGCCAACAACGAATCAAATTTACCAACACTTGTACACCTCTCATGGTATTATTATTATTTATGATTTTTATGATTGTTATTTGTTACTCGTACTAAATAATTAGTGTAATGTTATATCCACAATGTTTCTTTATCTGCACCGGTACCATGGATGTTCTCATATATCGAGAGGTTTTTCCTAGTTCTAATACGTAACATCAACCACAACTCAATCACGAGTCTTACCCGCGTTTTACGACTGCCACTGCAGTTCCCATATCCACATTCCGATTCCATTAGTCCACTTCCACAGTCTCGAATGTTCCAAGTTACACAATGTGTAGATAGCAAGTGGTACTTTCACTGACAGTAAGTGTTCAAGAGTTCCTACATGCGCTGATTGTTGTGGGCGATCGCTTGACCCGTGGAACTGGTCTTGCTGGGGAAATGCCACCAACGAGGTGCTTTAGTTACTGCAGGAGATAGAAAATGTACCCCTTGTATGACCAATAATCACCCTTCTGCTGTGATATATATGCTTTTGCTAGAGTATAAAAAGAAAATGCTCCAAGATAAAAATCAAAGCAATTGCACTATTATGTACTATTCCCTATTTAATTAATATAAATTTATTTGTGTTGTACTATGATTATCAGTTATCAATTATCGAGATGAGAACCCCACCTAGGTGCGTATTTTAGCCATAGAGATGCATGGATTATAACTGGAATCACTACTCTCTGGTTAAACATTTAATTAAAAGAGTGCCTTCAAGATGGCCGCTTTTTATTGTGTTTTGTTGGTCATCCTGTTTCGTTTTGGTCGGACTTGTTTGAAACCTATCGGACTGTTTGAGACAATCTTGTGTCGTCCTGTGGTTGCTTATCAACAAATACACTAACTTGACAAGTGGAAAATAAGTTAGTATTAAAAACAATTAATAATGTTTCAAAATTACTTTAACGCCCAGTTTTAACGTGCAATAGTTAAATGTCCATCAAATAACCTCAACCAACATGGTTGTAAAGATTGGAATGCTTTTGACAGCTATCCAACCAATCAACTATGGCCAACATAACAGCACGATAAACAGCAAAAACAGTGTTTCGTTTTTTTTTAACACAGAGTGGTGACTCCAGTTATAATCAATTCATCTCTATGATTTTAACCCAAATATGAGTGAAGGATGAGTGTAGAGAACATTGAGATGAATATATTACCTATAACTGTAGTCTCTACTCTTTGGTTGAACATTAGAAAAAAGCGTGCCATCAAGATGGCCGCTTGTTGTCGTGTTTTGTTGGTCATACTGTCTCGTTAGGTTGGACTTGCAAAAAATAACCCATCTGATTGGTTCGAATTTGACAACCAACCGATCATAGGCCAACATAACAACAAGAAAACTTAAAAAAAAAACAGCTAAAACAGTGGTACGCCTTTTAAACACAGAGTGGTGACTCCAGTTATAATTATAGCTCAGGTTTAGATTGGTGTGTAATGATCTGTGTAGCTTTGTTACTGACTAAGATCAGCTGTTTCATTAGCCAGGATCACTTATTTAAAGTCCAATATTCAGGAACAGCTGGGTCCATTTTGAAACTATCGAAAATTAAGGACTTTTCTCAGGATCAATCTGGCAACCTTTTGATTGTTAGGTGAGCACTTTAACCCCTCAGCTGATCAGACCGTTCACTATTGAATTTGTTTTCTGATTACTTCTTGTATTATTTGAAAGTCTTATTTAGCCTACTGTATAGGGAAACGATTTTAATTTAATTCTGTTTCTACCATATACGATTTTCTTAGGACTATTAGTGTTGGCTTTGGATACAACTTATATTTCCTTATATGTATGTGTATTCTAAACCCTTAAAAACACATTTCATTTTTAGAAATGAAAATGAAAATGTTTGTATCAATAAATGGTTATAACTTAAATTAAGATATTCCTTTTATTGTTATTTACCAATATGAGTTCTTTGATTGTTCGGTGTGGTAAATGTTGTTTTATTACTTGTTTTGTTCTAAGTTAAATCAATTACTTAAAAAATACACTTTTTGTTAAAATGGGTTCAAGTAGTGTCATAAAAATAATAAACTTCAAAGTCAACTAAGTTAATTAAAGTTTTTACATGTCATTACAAAATTTTATATTCGTAGAAGTCAGTTTCTAGTATTTACTGTGTAAAATAGCTTTATGGTTTAATGTGAACTTAGTTAATCGAGACAAGGAAATAAATAAAATTAACGTTTATAAAATGTATTAAAAAGTATAAAAACTACACTACATAACAATTCTATTATACATAATACAATACAATATAGACACATTTAACAGTCTTTGTTCTGTAACTTTAGCAGTTGTGTAAATGGTATGAATGATTTTTACGTGCCATTTCAATGACAGTCTAAATGAAAAAGTCAACTAAAATATAATTTGAGATTTAAGCCTCTATTCCGTTATTAAATGCTTGAATTTCTAAAGAGGTTTACAAGACCAGAAAAAATATCCTAGCTATATCACGATTTGCGTTATTAATAGGCTACTATTCGTTATATAACAATTTTATGTATGAATTTGAAACTAATTATTTAAGTACGAGGACATCGATTTTATTTTTCTACCATTAATCAGTTATTTGTAATTTATTGTTCTGTCAGAAAATTAGTTTCTGAACTAATAATAAATTAAAACTCGTAAACATTAAACTTCTTCCATAACTACAACAATTTAAAACTTGCGTATTAGTATGATTTGGTTTCAAAATATGTTTAACAAACCATAAATTATTTATAAATCTATACTTGTCCAATTAAAAGTTTTGAGTCCTGGTTAACTCAAACTGTTTCTAAGCTAAACAAATATACCAATTGTGACCTATCATACCCATTCAATTACATAGAATATTGCCCATTTTTTACATTTTATATAAGTAATCTAAACATCCCTGACTATATTACTATTGATTCAAAACAAAATATGAAAATAATTTCCATCAAACATAACATTTAAGATAAAATAATGATAAATCATATTGTTAAATAATCCAATGTTTTACAGAGTTAAAATCTATCAACAAAACATCCATGTTTAACTAGGTTTTAAAAGCAAATATGTTACATCTAACTGAACTCAGCGGAAAAATTAATATCAGAAAAATCAAAATTAAAGTCTTCAAAGCTAGATTTTGTTTTCTCCTCGCCGCTCTCTTTTCTCGGACCCTCGGCGTAGTCTTCGCTGCTCGACCTCTCTCTGGACCGTTCCCTGGACGAGTAGTAGTCCTCCCTCGACGATGACGTGTTCTCCCTGCTCCTACTGTCCGGGTACTCTCCACTGTCCTCGGCACTTTTACTGTCCTCCTTGGAGTAAGGTCTGGCTGAACCATCCTCATAACTATCTTGAGGATAACCCTTCTTTGGTGCCGGTGTTGTACTCTCTGAAGAGAATCCGTCAAACCCAAACGAACCAAAATTGAAGAACGCAAAATCATCTAGTTGTCTCTTGTTCTTATTACTCTCAGGAGGATTTTTCTTATCGAAGAACATCATCCGAGATTGCGCTTTCTGTTGGACGGGAACCACAACACTCTCCATTCCCTCGAACTGATCGTCGTACTCCATGAGACCGTCGTCATACATATCCATGTTCATATCGTGGCCCATGTCGTGATGATCGTCCGTGCCATGTTTGTGGCCGTGTTTGCTATGTCCGTGATGTTTGTGCTCCTGGTCAGAGCCTCCCGAATGTTTGTGGTGATGATGACTAGCTCCTTTGTGCATGTGGTGTTGCTCAGTTCCTCCTTCGTGTTTGTGGTGATGCTTTTTGTGTCCGGAGTGTTTATGTCCATGTTTAGCGTGGCCCTCGTGCTTATGTAGATGATCAGCATGACCATGGTGTTTGTGCTTATGCTCAGAGTGTCCTGTATGTTTGTGGTGATGCTCTCCGTGCCCGTGGTGTTTGTGTTTGTGACCCTGCTCCCCGTGATGTTTGTGGTCGTGTGACCCGTGCCCGTGGTGTTTGTGTTCATGTTCGTTTTTCCCGTGGTGGTGGTGTGAATGCTTACCTTCACCTTTATGATCGTGATGATGTTTTCCTTCCCCGTGATGTTTGTGGCCATGCTCAGCGTGTCCATGATGCTTATGCTCGTGTTTTCCGTGCCCATCATGCTTGTGGTCGTGCCCGTAGTGACCGTGGTGTTTATGCTCGTGTTTGGAGCTTCCGTGATGTTTGTGGTCGTGTTCTGCGTGTCCGTGATGCTTATGACTGTGTTCTGCATGACCATGGTGTTTGTGTTCGTGCTCCCCATGACCGTGATGTGCGTGGCTATGTTTTCCTTCGCCGTGGTGTTTGTGGTGGTGGTCGGTAGTACCATGATGTTTGTGCTCATGTTTTGCGTGTCCATGGTGATCGTGATGGTGCTCATTATGCCCGTGGTGTTTATGTTCATGTTTACTGGATCCGTGATGTTTGTGGCCGTGATCGTGGTGACCATGGTGCTCATGCTTATTCTCAGAGTGACCATGGTGCTTGTGAGAGTGTTCGCTGTGCCCGTGGTGCTTATGGCTATGTACACCAGAGAGATGGTGCTTGTGTCCGTGTTTTGCTTCTCCGTGGTGTTTGTGGCTATGTTCAGAATGCCCGTGGTGTTTGTGTTCGTGTGATGCATGTCCGTGATGCTTGTGGCCGTGCTCTGCGTGTCCCTCATGCTTGTGGTGATGCTGATTATGACCATGATGTTTGTGTTCGTGTTCAGCATGTCCGTGATGTTTATGAATGTGTTTTCCCTCCCCGTGGTGCTTGTGGTCGTGCTCGCTATGACCGTGGTGTTTGTGCTCATGCTTGCCACTGCCGTGGTGCTTATGACCGTGTTCAGCGTGTCCCTCATGTTTATGATGATGAGATCCGTGACCGTGATGTTTGTGGGAGTGTTCGTGATGCCCGTGGTGTTTATGTCCGTGCCCATGATGGCCATGATGCTTATGCCCGTGTTGGTGGTGTCCGTGGTGTTTATGCTCGTGATGACCGTGTCCGTGATGCTCGTGTTTGTGATGACTTTCTCCGTGGTGTTTGTGTTTATGTTCCGCCTCTCCATGGTGCTTGTGTCCATGTTCATGATGGCCGTGGTGGTGATGCTTGTGCTCGCCGTGTCCGTGGTGTTTGTGGTGATGTTCCGAGTGTCCCGAATGTTTGTGTTTGTGCTCGTTGTGTCCGTGGTGATGATGCGCGTGTTTACCATGACCCTCGTGTTTGTGTTCGTGTTTGTGGCCGCCATGATGTTTGTGTCCGTGATCGTGTTTCCCGTGGTGGTGATGGCTATGTTTTCCCTCTCCGTGGTGTTTGTGGCTGTGTTTTGCGTGTCCGTGGTGATGGTGGTCATGTTTGTTTGATCCGTGATGGTGATGTTTGTGTCCAGCATGACCGACATGCTTGTGAATGTGATCAACTTTCCCAGAGTGTTTGTGGTGATGGTAGACTTCTCCTAAGTGCTTCGTGTCATGTATATGTGTATGTTCAATCTCTGACTCCTGCTCCTGTATCAGCGGTATTTGGTTTGCAGGTCTAATGATTGGTCGTCTTGGGACAAACCTGAGAGGAGCGAGTCTTCTATTTCTGCAAAAAAACACAAACATCATTGTTTTAATATATAAAAATAGCCATAAGCCATTTGTAATATGCAATAGCAATGACCATTAATTATACGTGATTCATTGCTATTAGTTTCACATGCCGAAGCATTACAGTAAAATTATTCCCTCTGCACCATTCTGAGTTAATTTTACATTATTATTATATATCTCGAGTGTGTGTTTGTTATGATTAAAAATATATTGTATGTTTTCTTGCCTACCATCGTTTTGTATGAACCACACGAATTAAATAAATTTCTAAAACAAAACTGGGAAAATGTAAGTCCAAGATATTGGGATCTTGGTTCATGTTTTTCTTCGGTTTCCTGCATATAGCCTTACAGGTTTTAATTGACAAGAATATTCACACCAAACAATTGTTCATGGACTTTAAACAGCACTTATCAAAGACATGACAACTCAATAGTGTCATGTACAGTTCAATTGAAGTATCAAACATAAAGCAACATTGTGTATTATGCTTGAAATAAGAAAGAATATTGGCCCTGCAGCTAAGTTCCTGCTAAAGCATTGATGCAGCTTTCCCGACTGTTCTGTTCTATTTTATGAGTGTAGCCGCTTGAAGGAACAATTATATCAGTGAAGTAGTGTAAATATAAAACATTGGGCAAAATAGATAGATTTTAACAGCTATTACGTCATTTTAATTCTATCGTACCTCGTAATATCTGACGCGTTCAAGACGTTTATATGTAATCTAATGATCTACCATTTCGTGTATTTGTGAGGCTTTACGTTTAAATGTTAATTCAAAACTATATTTTCAATTTAGTTTTAGTTGATTGACAAATAAGTTTAATGTCCTGTTTTTATGAGGGTAGATAAATGTGCCATTTTATTGTTTAAAGTAAAAAATTTGACATCCTTAATCATGTTTTGAACTTCAATTACCTACTTCAAAAATTGCAAAAATTGCAAATCTCTTTAGCGTTCCGGAAACGATAGCAAATACCAATTTGGGACGTGACACGAAAAGGGGTGCAAACCATAAACGATTTTGTGTAGTTAAAAAATCTTATATTTCATAAAAATTACATACATATACACAAATATATTTTGATTTTCTTACCTATGGTAATATATTTCAAGATTCACTGCCCATCTCCTTTTCAATTTCAGCAATTTCTTTTTCTAGGGACTTAAAATCTGCATCTTCGAAGGAAAATGAAAACTCTGACGAATCAAATTTAAAATCTTCAGAACTTAAGGGTGATCCTTCCTTGTTCTTACTTGAATGTTTCTCTTGTTTCACGTTGACTTCGGGTTTTGTAATAGGCCTACTTTGCATTTTTGCATCTCTTTCAACAGATTTTTCATTGCTCTGTATCGAAACAGATGCTTTATTGTATGCTATAGGCTTACTTGCTGTAGATGCTGTATTTTTACTTCCCGTTTTCAAAATTCCAGTGTTCATGTCTACTGAGGTCACAGGCTGAACGTTTGTCTCAAGAAAGTCATGATCATCGTACTCGTGTTCATCATGCTCATGGTCACTGTCGTGATGTCCCTTTCCACCGACGCCGTGTTTATGTTTATGCTCACCATGTCCCTTATGTTTGTGCTCGTGATGCCCGTGGCCGCTGTGCTTGTGGCTGTGGTCTGAGTGCCCGTGGTGCTTATGTTCGTGGTGACTATGCCCGTGGTGTTTATGCTCGTGCTTGTTGTCTCCGTGGTGTTTATGTTCATGTCCGTGACTACCGTGGTGTTTGTGTTCGTGTTTGCTGTGCCCGTGATGGCTGTGGTGATGATCGGAGTGTCCGTGGTGTTTGTGGCTGTGATCTGAGTGCCCGTGATGTCCATGGTGATGCTTAGCATCTCCGTGGTGTTTATGCTCGTGTTTGGTGTCTCCGTGGTGGTGATGCTCGTGTTTCCCATGGCCGTGGTGTTTATGGGAATGTTCCGCATGGCCGTGATGTTTGTGTCCGTGAGACGCGTGTCCGTGATGCTTATGGCCGTGCTCAGCGTGTAAATGATGTTTGTGTGAATGTTTCCCATCACCATCGTGTTTGTGGTGATGGTCATTGTGGCCGTGGTGTTTGTGCTCGTGTTTCGCGTGGCCGTGGTGTTTATGGTGGTGGTCTCCATGTCCATGATGGGAATGGTGATGTTTACCCTCGCCATGATGCTTGTGAGAGTGTTCCGAATGACCGTGGTGTTTGTGCGAATGGTCCGAATGTCCGTGATGTTTATGACCGTGTTCGTGATGTCCGTGGTGTTTATGGTCGTGTTCTCCGTGACCATGATGTTTATGCACGTGTTTGCCTTCTCCATGATGTTTATGGTGGTGGTCTCCGTGGCCGTGATGTTTGTGTTCGTGTTTAGCACTACCGTGGTGGTGATGTCCATGGTCTGTATGTCCGTGATGTTTGTGTCCGTGGTCGTGATGGCCGTGATGTTTATGACTGTGCTCTCCATGACCGTGATGGGCGTGATGGTGTTTCGATTCTCCGTGATGTTTGTGGTGATGTGAAGCATGTCCGTGGTGTTTGTGCTCGTGTTCGCCATGTCCGTGATGTTTATGGTGATGTTCTGCATGGCCTTGGTGTTTGTGAGAATGCTCGTTGTGACCATGATGCTTGTGGCCATGCTCTTGATGGCCATGATGCTTGTGCCCGTGTTCTTGATGGCCGTGGTGTTTATGCCCGTGTTCGTGATGTCCATGATGCTTGTGCTTGTGCTCACTATGTCCGTGATGTTTATGTTTGTGACTAGCTTCTCCATGGTGTTTATGCTTATGTTCACCGTGCCCGTGGTGTTTGTGGTGGTGCTGCGAATGGCCGTGGTGTTTGTGTTGATGTTCCGAGTGTCCGTGGTGTTTGTGTCCATGTTCGTGGTGACCGTGGTGTCCGTGCTTATGTTCATGTTCACCATGGTGGTGATGAGAGTGTTTCCCATGACCATGGTGTTTATGGGAATGCTCGCTGTGTCCATGGTGTTTGTGGTGATGGTCAGTGTGTCCATGATGTTTGTGACTATGTTTGCCTTCCCCATGGTGTTTATGGCTATGTTTAGCGTCTCCATGGTGTTTGTGAGAGTGTTTCTGCTCACCATGGTGTTTGTGGCTGTGTTTTGCATGACCCTCATGTTTGTGAACGTGATCTACGTGACCTTCGTGTTTGTGGTGGTGTATGACTTTCCCCACCTTTGCTTTCTTTTTCTTCTTGAATAATTTCAGTTTAAATTTAGTAGCATGTGATACCATTGGTCTCGGCTTAGGATATCGAATCAAAGCAACTCTCCGTTTCCTGAAATCATCCAAATTTATGAAGAATGAATTGTATCAAGAGAATTTGATAGGCCTATGTAAATAAATAATATGTGTAAAGTGTAAATATTTATTCTTCATAAAATTGACAAATATTTTTAATTTAACACTTGAAATCAAAGATTTGTGATTGTTCTTACAATATTATTTTACATTCTTGTAGGTATGCTTGTCGAATGTTTTTTCTATGATATTTTAATCATCTTCTGGCTTAATAAATAAAATATGATTAGCTTTTTTCTAAACTATATGATTATAACAACATCGGTTTGTAAAAAAGGTGAATGATTGTAAGTGATGGTTGTAGTGTCAAATGATTTGAAGTAAGTCTTATTTGCTATTCTCCTATTGCCCATTAGTATACCGTATTAAATTCACTCGGGTATAAATAATGTATGGTATTGAGAAGTTGGACTAAACCAAGATCTGTAAATATCGTTAAACTAAATTACACTCTCAAAAAAACTACTTCTAACAAAAACATTTTTTTATTCCCAGTTTTTAAATTTAAATAATAAAGCGTTAAAACTCAATGCAAATTTAATACAATTGTGTACGTCCTTCTTTTGTAAAATCTATCTAGCATATATGGACCTACAATCTTAGGTAGACCTTATGCCTATTAATAGCAAAAATCAATATAATTCATTTAAACTTATAATAATAAAATAATAATTTATTTCACTTACAAGGATGGCGAGGCCTGCATGTCTGACGGTGTCTGAGAAGTCTCAGCATTGTTTAGTCGTATGATCCTTGGTGCGGCATCCTCTCTGTCAGAAAATTCTACATTTAGAATACACGCAAAACGCTATAAAATTTGTAAATACAGATTGTTTTTGTATGTCAGAGCTAAATGTTACCCTGGTTATAAAATAGTTAACGGTTTCAGAAGTTAGTGCCATTAACGCGATGCAGAAAAAAACAAAACTCGGCACATATTTACAACATAAGAAATTGCACTTTTTCATCAAAGTTACAACTCTGCCCCAGCCCCCAAAATGGGGTATTTTGGGGGCAGTCCCAAATTTTCAAATGTAAACATCTATCATGTGACCCTTCATTTTAAATGGGTTATCAAGAGAAATTGAATGGCGCAAATCAGAGGTCAATATCGCACCTCTAATTAAAATGGCATCTTGACACCGTCAGTTAACTTTAAAAATGTAATATTTTAATACTGGCCAAAAGGTGAATTATCTATTTTTATAAAGGTATGCTGAGTTTAGTTTTCCTGCTATAACCTGTTAACATGTTAAAAGGGGATATTTCAAAATGACTGCCATTTTGATTAGGGGTGATATATTGACCTCTAGTTTGCGCTATTTAATTTGTCTTTAAAAACCCTTTACAATGAGGGGTCACATGATAGGTGTTTACATTTGAAAATTTAGGGCTGCCCCCAAAACACCCCATTTTGGGGGCCGGGTACTAGTTTTGACTTTAACGAAAAAGAGCATTTTTTATGTGCCATGTTTGGTTTCCCCACTGCTACACGTTATAAAGTTAACTGGGAGTGTCCAGACTTTATCTTGCTTGCCCATCTAAATTAAAATGACTGCCATTTTGATTAGGGGTGCGATATTGACCTGTAGTTTGCGCCATTTAATTTGTAAGGGGTTTACATTTGAAAATTTGGAGCTGCCCCCAAAATACCCTGTTTTGGGGGCTGGGGCACAGTTGTAACTTTGATGAAAAAGTGCAATTTCTTATATTGTAAACATGTGCCGAGTTTGGTTTCCCTACTGCAACGGGTTAAAATGTTAACTGGGGGGTTCCAGACTTTTGCCTAACCCTGTATAGCATATTGATTTGTTAAAGTCGATGTAACCTGATTGGCTGGAATGTACCAGAAATTATTTAGCCAATCAGAACAGATCCATATTAAATCCAGCATGATATCGACTAGACCCATCCTCATTCTCGGTTTGTCTGCTTTTGAAGTAGTTTGTCACTTGTTGCATTTGAGAGCAGTAAAATATTGCTATTAGTTTAAAAATCTCCTTTTGGCGAAGTTAATTTATTCATTTTGGATCAATATTTATTCCGTTTGTCTTGATGGACCTAATCTTAGTAAAAATCATCTTAATTGGATGTTTTGTCAGCTAGTTGTTTGAATTTTTAGTAGCCTTCTGTGTCTTGAATTAACTTGTTCCTTTCTAAGGAAATGTAATTGAAGTTGGTCATTATTAAGTTTTTTCTCTTTTTCTTAGAGTTGGTGAATTTGACGAATTTGATGAGTTTAAGAATTCAATTTATATAAATAGTATAAATGCATCCTGATAAATTAATAATGAAAGTAAAAACTAAAATGATCAAAAGAACATATCCAAGTATAAAGATTAAATTAAATGTAGAAGGAAGATTTATTGGATTTAATAATATCTTAAGTATGAAGAAGATATGAATTTGAATAACAAAAGTTGTACCGGTAGTTGGATACTAGGAATAATCTTTGGACCTCTGCTGGCATATGTAATGTTAGCATATGTACTGCAGCTGAGTTTATATACAAATTTTCTCACAATGAAAATAACCTTAAAGATTTTCTAATTTACATTTTAGTACATTTTGAAAAAATGTTTTGGATAGTGTTGAACATTGTTCAAATGTCTATTGCACTTATTCTTCATAAGTTACTGTTTTCTTTAAATAATCAAATGTACACGAAGGCAATTCCCACTAAAATTTGCCTATGGATTTCTCAACAGAGTGTACACTTTGGATCAAGCTGTAGTGGTCCTGGGAAAATTGATTTTATGGCTCATCCTGTCTAGCGTTGTAAAGAGTAAGAACTATTATGGGCTTGCTGATTGGGCAATCTTTGATAATAGACTAGAGTGACAAGCATACAAGAGCAGTAAAGGGGACAACAAGCTCTCGTATGATAAGGTAATGTATTGATCATTAAAAGTGTTCTTGGTTATGTTATAATACTGTACTTATATTTTTAAATACCTAATTCAATCTAGAAAGAAGATAATTTGTCTACTTCTTCGTTCGCTCCACTAAATTGACGGGAACGGACGGGGTAGCGGATTTCTACCCCCGGATATTTACCCCCATGAAAAAACGCCTACGTCATTTTGACGTCACGAGGGGCGGGGCCTATGCACGGTCGAGAAACAGCCCGCGACTGGAAATGTACCCCCAATATATTATTAAATAATCAACATGTAATTGTTTGATTATAAAGTGATTTGCCATAGCATGGAAATCTACCCCCGGACATTTACCCCCAGAAATCCACCCCCGGACATTTACCCCCGGATATCTACCCCCAGACATTTACCCCCGGATATCTACCCCCGGACATCTACCCCCGGATATCTACCCCCGGAAATCTACCCCCGGACATCTACCCCCAGACATCTACCCCCGGACATCTACCCCCGGACATCTACCCCCGGAAATCAACGGCTCTTCGGTTAAGCATTGTCTTGTAATATCCAGTATAAAGCATGCGATATGTCATTGTCTTGTTTAACATTATCTATCTTCCTAATTCAATAAGCTGTAACAGTCCTTTTTCACCCGACCTACTTCACCGATTGTTACGATTGAGGTGTCATTTTAAAGCTTAAGATCTTGCGCAGAGCAAAATGGTAATTAAAAAGGATATTTTGATTAGGGCTTCAAAAGGTTGACCCCTAAGCCATTGATTTATTCCTAGAAGGTGCTTCCAATGGTTGACCAACCTTCACACTATACAGTAACAGTTTTAAAGGTGAAATGTGAGCAGATTACTAATCAGTTCAATTTTTAAGTCAGGTTGAAAACCAGAATAGATCGTCTGCAACTGTAAACAAGAGATGGAACACTACCCCCAAACGACTTTTAGTTCTCAATTGGCCCTCCATCAATAACCTGTGTTGCCTGTACAGCGAGGCATTTTGAGAAGAAGAAACCCGGCCGGATGAATGCTTTAGGTTTATCAATAACGAAGATAAACATGGTTTTAGTTACACACCGGTAATCTTTGAGTTGCCTCATTTAAACTCATTGTAAATATTCATTGTTATTCATTTTGAAATAACTCCTTTAATACTTTGCAATAATTGCTCGAATTTTTGCAACATGTACACTAGTTACAAATTATTGCACTTAAGATTTATTTGATCCGTTTATTAAAGTGAGTCACAACGTTTTTAATCTTACTTGGTTTTGGATTTTATTACACAACGTGATCGGAAATGGTTGCAGTATTTGTAAACAAAATGTAATAACGAATTTCCAGTGACAGCTAGAAAAAATCATCTTTATCCAGCTTTTCATCTTTCTCAGCTGTTCGTTATTTCATTGATGTCGTATTCTCCAAACAAATTATTAGTAGGCTATTTCATAAATTATTTATAAACATTAGGAGTAGCCTAAACTTGACAAAAATGCAAAAAAATTGGGGGTTTGAACAAAATTTATTTTAATTCAAAAGTAGTGAGGCCATATTTTAATGGCTTATGTTACTCGTGCCAATCCACCGAATCCAAAAAGACTATTTAAATCGAATCACGATCGATGCTCTAGTTTTTGAGAAGAAGGTCACGTGAAATGCCTTCTGGGCCTTGACAGACAAGACAGAAATTGAGATAAAGACTTGTTTTGGCTTAGAAACGTAAAAATTACCAAAAAATATATAGTTTTAAGCAATGTTCATAATAAACTCTAATTTCATTAAAATAAATTCGTAAAACCAAAAGAACCATGAGGTAATACATTCCCTATCCCGAAATATCCAATTTTATTCTTTTACATTATTCTCCGTTATTTCACAACCAGCATTGACAACCAGAACCAATCATAAAATATGTTTATGTTTTATTTTTTTCGATTAATTATTTGTGTAAACAATTAGACCCTTTAGCCAATGTAAAACTCCGGATAGTGTCTACGACATAGGGATTATGCTATTTCGTATTACTAGGAGGTAATTGATAGTGAAAAATTATTAATTCATTAATCAACCTGTGACAGGCTTTTTATCAACATTTAATTGCATTTTTACCACTAGTAATCAGAAAATAACCTCCTTAAGTGATATGTTTTAAATTTCACGATCTGCGCTCGTACATGTGCCGTTAGCTATGAGTGTATGTGAAAATTGGTTAACCATTTAAATCACTGCCTGAAAATAAATCAAATGCTTATGGGCTAAACTTTTGGAGCCGTTTATCAAAATATCCTTTTTAATTAACATTTGAGTTGCACTGAATCTTAAGCTTAAAAATGACACCTAAATCAGTTACAGCTTAATGAATTGGGAAGATAGATGACATTAAACAAGACAACGACATATCGCTTAATACTAGATATTAGAGGGTAATTATTAAACGAAGAGCCATTGATTATTTTTATAAACCAATTATTAAAATCAACTACAACAATGAATATTGGCCGATACGTAGTGTAGCACGGGGGGTAGATTTCCGGGGGTCGGAAATAAATAATTCCGGGGTCGGACATTTATGATTTGACCACTGGGGGTACATTTCTGGGGGTAGATTTCCGGGGGTAGATATCCGGGGGTAGATGTCTGGGGGTAAATATCCGGGGGTAGATGTCCGGGGGTAGATGTCTGGGGGTAGATTTCCGGGGGTAGATGTCTGGGGGTAAATGTCCGGGGGTAGATGTCCGGGGGTGGATGTCTGGGGGTAGATTTCCGGGGGGTAAAGTTCCGGTGTCAGGTTTATTAGCATTTTGATTAATTACAACTGTTAAGTAAACCGTGAAATGCGAGTTGATTGAATATATAATAATTTATCCATCCTAAAAGTTCGCGGCCGGAAATCTACCCCCATACATGTGACGTCAAAGTGACGTAGGCGTTTTTTCATGGGGGTAAATATCCGGGGGTAGAAATCCGGCGACCCGAACGGACCGTATGACTAGTTATTTCCTAGAAGCTCATTTTTTAAAGAAAAACACACTTAATTAATTTACCAGCAGAGCGTTGATATGAGATGCTTTAAAATCATGAATCGTTAACTTAAAAGTCATATATTCAAGTCAAGTAAAAGATAGAGCAATGGGTAAGGTTCATTTTTGGGGGATTTACTAATGAAATGATTATTTCGATAAGGCTGCACTCAATTTCGTTGCTTCAACACAAGTTAGTTGTTGTTGTGGTACTAATTTTGTGATTTTATACTAAAGGGTAGATTGAACTACATATCACAGACCACAGTAGATTTCTACATAGTTGATCCTGCAGTTGAAAGTTTGACCCACGCTCTACAAAACTGTAGTGAAATCTTGACTTGATTATGACAGGCGCAGTTGAATGGACAAACTAGGCAAACTAAATGAATATAAACTGGGTAATTGTGTTAAAAAAATTGCATTATAAAACTCTATTCTTATTTATAGAGTATGATATTGTAATGTGTGAGACCACTATACTTTTGAAACTCTTGCAATAATACTCTATTCTACAAATATTTTAAAATCAGTTGTTTTTAATGTTTAAAATGGCTTTTTATCATACTGTATTTGAATCGAACTGATGTTGTCCGAGAATAACAGATAGCTACTTCCCTATAGGGAAATTCGCTAAAAGTAGGTATTTAAAAAATGTCATTTCAAAAGACAACAATAAAATAAGTACATCAAAACAAACTCATACATATATTTTTCGAAAGTAATTATTCATAAGTATGATTTTTTTCCTAAAGTAATGTGCTATTTAAAAATCTAAATAATGTAAGAGGATAATGCAAGATTATGTATGTTATGTTTGATGATGTAAGATGTCATGCTATTAAAAATAACAAATTTCAGGCTGTTGTCAGTGGGATGTTTTTTGATAGAGGCGCATAAACAATATCCATGTTGTAATAAGATCCTTAACAACATTTCCCGAGTGTTTAGCAATAATATATGTAGGCCTAATAGTTATATGGGTTACTCGTCGAACTCACATTTTATTCATAGCTATCGGTACCAGGCTAAGAAAATTGAATTCCTAATTTGTGGTACATAGTTTTACATTAAGTACATCGCAAAGAGAAAATGAGGGACCGCGTCTCGTTGTCTCGCCGTCTAGTTGTACCTACGTCTACTTGTACCTCGAGGCCTAGGGACAACTAGTCGTAGGTACAACTAGACGTAGGTACAAGTAGACGGTGGCACACCCGACTAGTTGTACCTGCAGATTTTTAGGAGGTACAACTAGACGTAGGTACAAGTAGACGTAGGTACAACTAGACGTGTATCCCACCGACAAGTAGTATCAGCTAGCTTGTACGGATGCGACCAGTTGTCCCTACGACTAGTAGTCCCTACGACTAGTGGTCCCTCCGTCTAGTAGTCCCTACGTCTAGTTGTACCTTCGCGTATTTTGCGTCCTTATAGTCTAGTTGTATCTAGCCTTCAATTCGTTACCCTGTTTAATTGATTACTGCACGAGTACTTTTTAATAATACCCTTAATTAAATCAGGAACTGCAGTGTTCCAAGTCAACTGAGTATGATTGGCAAATATTTTTCACCGCACTACGTTGTTTTAGTAGTTTTACACAGACGTTAATTGGAGGCTGAAAGCTACGCATTGCTGTCCAAGGTCGAAATGACAGCTATAGGTGTAGTTAAAATTGTCCAGCCCTAGTACCGAAAATCACTTATTTAATTAAAACATTTATATATATATATACCGGGTGTCCCACGAAGGGGTTTAAACGTTTGATTTTATATTGCGTGCCCATTCATGCACCGAACCTTTTTAAACTTTACACAGTTTACAAAGTAGGTTCTAAAAATATTCTGGAAAAATTTCAACTCCCTAACCTTAGAAGAAACAAAATGGCGGCTTATTGACAAATTTACCAATGTGCTTTCTATAAAAACTACTTTCATGATTTATTATTAGTTATTTATTTATTATTATTATTTATTAGTTATTAGATTAATTTTTGGTTTTCCATTTGGCTATGTTCTAATTTTTTCTTGTTTTAAAGTCATATTGCCCTGGAAAGTAACAATAAAAATATTTTATAAAACCAAAAATACCTTTTTTAATGTTTTAAAGTAACTTTTTCAATATGCCGCCATTTTGTTTCTACTAAGGTTAGGGAGTTGACATTTTTCCAGAATATTTTTAAAACCTACCTTGTAAACTGTGTAAAGTTTCAAAAAGTTCGGTGCATGAATGGGCGCGTAATATAAAATCAAACGTTTAAACCCCTTCGTGGGACACCCTATATATCATTAAATATACAAGCAGTATATCCTTAATGAATTGCAATAGACCGCTGCCTAGCAATTATCTATATAGGTAAATAAAATTAGAGTTTTGTCTGTACATTGCTCAGAATCATAAATTTTGAGGTTATTCAAATTTTCCTGGCTTTTGTAGCAAGTTGTTTATAAAAAATTGTTGTAAGATTGTATGATTTTTAAAGAAATAAAATAAATCCCTAAAACTGGTGACAAGTTGAAGGGGAGATACAACTAGCCGTAGGTACAACTAGACGTAGGTACAAGTAGGCGTAGGTACAACTAGTCGTAGGTACAAGTAGTCGTAGGTACAAGTAGTCGTAGGTACAAGTAGTCGTAGGTACAAGTAGTCGTAGGTACAAGTAGACGCAGACGTATGAGGTACAAGTAGACGGTGGCGTACCCGACTAGTTGTACCTGTAGATTTTTAAGAGGTACAACTAGACGTAGAGACAACTAGACGTAGGTACAACTAGACGTCCGCACCATCGTCAAGTTGTACCTACAGCTTTGGACGAGGTACAACTAGACGCCTGTCACCAAAATGCAGCAGGTACAACTAGACGCCGGTACAAGTAGACATCGCCCCGAAAATGAGAGTGGACTATACTATACCAATCAGAATAGCAAACATTACTAATACTGTCCGAGGTAGTAAGGACAATGGTTTAATTACAATGGTGTCGTACATACCATTTATTTTTGGTTTTGGATTGTCTAACCAACCCATAAAATTGTGACTATGATAGGTCTTTTAGTTGTTTAACATCATTGATTCGTTTATTTAATGCACTCAGTAGTTGTTGGTTCTTAGTTACAATAGCGCTGGACACCAAAACGCACAGACTAACCATGGCGGAAAAGCCTTGGTTCTAGAGGACTTGTAGCTGAGGTTCAAATATTGTGAATAACCAATGGATTTTATACATGTAATAATACTGTGACTCACTTGTTGAGATCCCACCTAGGCTGTTGATTCGCCAGTATAGGAGAAATGTATGCAGCTCTATGGTGGGGATAACGTTTTCCTTAATTGAAGAGGTATCCCTACTTAACATACCATATTCGCATTTGCTAAAAATCGTGATTTTAAATCGGAATTTTACCCCCTGTCCATATAACTAGCGTTTAGACAACTGAAAATGTACGGGCCGGATTTTTCCCCCGAATTTTACCCCCGGCTTTTTACTCCCCAGAATTTTACCCCCTGGCCGATTTTAGAAATTGAATGTTTGATTTTCTTATTTCATTTTTTAATTAATTGTAAACATTTCATTATTTAGTAGCCTATCTTTATTTATTTATTTTGTAAAGAAATGTTCGAAACAATTATCATTCAGTTGATTGTTTATACGTCATATTAACCAACTGTTAGCTTCAAAGATCGAATCCTAATTACTAGAATCTCAAAATTAAAATTAAAAACCTGTTCGGTTAGTTAATGTTACAAATAAATTAATATAGGCTACTTAATAATAAAATGTTTAGTATTAAATTAAAACAGAATGAAGATGATTAATCATTCTCGCTAATTTATATATCTGGCCAGGGGGTAAAATTCCGGGGGGTAAAATTCCGGGGATAAAATTCCGGGGGTAAAAATCCGGGCCGTACACTCTAGGTTTTTATAATTTGATGTGTTCTGATTAAATTCACAACCGTGAAAATATATGTTTAATTCCGCGTTTAATCCATCGAGCTGATGTCGCGAAACTCAAAAGTTCGCGGCCGGAATTTTACCCCCTGGTAAACAAAAAAAAAAAAAATCATAAAAATCCGCTAAACCCTATTATTGACTTAACTATTCTTCAATATCTCATAGCCAAAGCTAAAACTCATAATTTTTTGCCCAAAATCCTTATCAGTGTCAACATATTAGAAATAACAACAATATCATTTTAATGGTACAAGTAACTTTATTGGTACATAATTTCATATTTCATTACATTAACACACACAAAACACACACTACATTTGTATGTGTTTGTGTTTCTTTACATTACTATTGTTTTAAACTGTACAGATTCATCTTCATGGCTAAAATAATCAATTACACATATCGAACACGTTGTCATCAAATACAAAACAAGTAAATGATACATAGGTCCTAGCAAAATATATGGAGATTGTTCAAAAGTTAATAATCAACATTAAGATCATTCTTAGTTAGAGGTGAAACGGTTTAACTTTAGTCACAAAAGAGAGGTTGTAAACCTAAATTCTTATTAAAACTGAACAGAGACAGCTATTTATTATTATAATGTTGTATCTAAGATTATTGTAAACACAAACCTTTAAGGCTTCAACTGTGCAGCCAGTTCATATCCGTGCACATGTTTAATTAATTGATTTTTTGTAATACTTAGTTCTATCAAGTGAATGTCTTATATGTTATTTAAATTTTAATTTGAAAGTTTCATAATTTTAAAATAAGTTAGAAATCCAATTTAAATTTGTTGAAAAGTTTTGATATTTGTAGTAAAAAGATTTGATCATAATTTTTATCTTAAGGGTTTAAAAAGTCGGTTGGTAAATTAATAATCAATAAAATTACCAGTTTACAGAAATAAAGTATAGTTCTACATTTTGAAAATAATCTTACTTTGCATTGTTCTATCAAAATATATTCTTATAGAGGAGGATTCTGAGGAGTGTTGTAGATACAAATAAATCTAAAATAACAGGGAAATCACAGTTTCAATACAGATAAATAAAATATGATTTAGCGAAGAACTTTAAGGTTCTCACGCATGAAAATTCAAGCAGTGTCTCCAGATGTACATCTAATTTATAAACCGATAAACCTCGCTTAATATGCCTGAAAAAATATCTTCTTACTCATTAAAGCAATTTCTTATTTATTTTGTAATACTGATTGATTACTTAGTGATAAACATAACTTGAATATTTTACCATAGGATTATATTGTAATGTGGATTTACTTTACAAGTAACATGAAGCTTTTGCCCTTAGTATTTTATTGTATCATATATATTATAGATTTATGAGGTTATCGAAAGCAATGAAAAAAGACCCATTTTAAAAGAAGAATGGAATGCTTTTTCAATTGTATATTCCGATTGGTAACTTTTTATTATTTTGAAGGTTATAATCTTATGTAAATTTGAAGTACAGCATTAAAGAACATGAAAAGCTTGAATAGAATATCTTGTGAAAGAACGCACCATTTTCGTTCTTTACCAAACCAAACGATTCAATTGTTTCTACAACATTAAATATTCATGCCTATTTCAGCAAAACCTATACATCAACCATCAATAGGGCATTTAGTCGACTCATACACTGCAAATTTTAAATATGTTGGATTATTAACGATTCAGGTAAATTTTTAAAATAACTCAGTAGACAGCAAAGAAAAACTATGGTCAACGATGGTCATCATCCGGTGTGGAATGTTTATGGCCATGTTCAGCATGCCCATGATGTTTATGGGAATGTTGGGCATTGCCATGGTGTTTATGATCATGCTCAGCTTCTCCGTGATGTTTATGATCATGCTCAGCGTGGCCGTGATGTTTATGGCCATGTTCAGCATGTCCATGGTGTTTATGGCCATGTTCAGCATGTCCATGGTGTTTATGGCCATGTTCAGCATGTCCATGGTGTTTATGGGAATGCTTTGCTTCTCCATGATGCTTGTGAGAATGTTCGGCTTCTCCGTGATGTTTGTGGGAGTGCTCTGCATGGCCATGATGTTTATGGCCATGTTCAGCATGTCCATGGTGTTTATGGCCATGTTCAGCATGTCCATGGTGTTTATGGCCATGTTCAGCATGTCCATGGTGTTTATGGGAATGCTTTGCTTCTCCATGATGCTTGTGAGAATGTTCAGCTTCTCCGTGATGTTTGTGGGAGTGCTCTGCATGGCCGTGATGTTTATGGCCATGTTCAGCATGTCCATTGTGTTTATGGGAATGCTTTGCTTCTCCATGATGTTTGTGGGAATGTTCAGTTTCTCCGTGATGTTTGTGTGAGTGCTCTGCATGGCCATGATGTTTATGGCCATGTTCAGCATGTCCATGGTGTTTATGGCCATGTTCAGCATGTCCATGGTGTCTATGAGAATGCTTTGCTTCTCCATTATGTTTGTGGGAATGTTCAGCTTCTCCGTGATGCTTGTGGGAGTGCTCTGCATGGCCATGATGTTTATGGTCATGTTCAGCATGTCCATGGTGTTTATGGGAATGTTTTGCTTCTCCATGATGCTTATGGGAATGTTCAGCTTCTCCGTGATGTTTGTGGGAGTGCTCTGCATGGCCATGATGTTTATGACCATGTTCAGCATGTCCATGGTGTTTATGCTCGTGTTTAGCATGACCATGATGTTTATGGGAATGCTCGCTATGACCGTGGTGCTTATGACCATGCTCAGCATGGCCATGGTGTTTATGATCATGATCAGCGTGGCCATGATGTTTATGAGAATGCTCGGCGTGACCGTGGTGTTTGTGAGAGTGTTCTGCATGTCCGTGATGCTTATGCTCATGTTCAGCATGTCCGTGATGTTTATGTTCATGTTCAGCATGTCCGTGATGTTTATGATCATGTTCGGCATGACCATCGTGTTTATGGGAATGTCTCCCTTCTCCATGGTGTTTATGTTCGTGTTCAGCGTGACCATGATGTTTGTGAGAGTGCTCTGCATGTCCGTGGTGCTTATGGCCATGTTCAGCATGTCCGTGATGCTTATGTGAGTGTTCTGCCTCTCCATGATGTTTATGAGAATGTTTACTTTCTCCATGATGTTTGTGAGAGTGCTCTGCATGTCCGTGATGCTTATGCTCATGCTTAGCATGTCCGTGGTGCTTATGTGAGTGTTCTGCCTCTCCGTGATGCTTGTGATCATGTTTTGCATGACCGTGATGCTTATGGCTATGCTCAGCATGTCCATGGTGCTTATGATCATGCTCAGCATGTCCGTGATGCTTATGATCATGCTCAGCATGTCCGTGATGCTTATGATCATGCTCAGCATGTCCGTGATGCTTATGTGAGTGTTCTGCCTCTCCATGATGTTTATGGGAGTGTTCTGCATGACCGTGATGCTTATGGCCATGTTCAGCATGTCCGTGGTGCTTATGTGAGTGTTCTGCATGACCGTGATGCTTATGTGAGTGTTCTGCCTCTCCATGATGTTTATGGGAGTGTTCTGTATGACCGTGATGCTTATGGCCATGTTCAGCATGTCCGTGGTGCTTGTGTGAGTGTTCTGCATGACCGTGATGCTTATGGCCATGTTCAGCATGTCCGTGGTGCTTATGTGAATGTTCTGCATGACCGTGATGCTTATGGCCATGTTCAGCATGTCCGTGGTGCTTATGTGAATGTTCTGCATGACCGTGATGCTTATGACCATGTTCAGCATGCCCGTGATGCTTATGCGAGTGTTCTGCATGTCCGTCGTGCTTATGTGAATGTTTAGCCTCTCCGTGATGCTTGTGAGAATGTTCTGCATGTCCATGGTGCTTGTGTCCATGTTCTGCATGACCGTGGTGCTTATGGCCATGCTCAGCATGTCCATGATGTTTATGTTTATGTTCTGCATGACCATGGTGCTTATGTTTATGTTTTCCATGTCCAGAATGTTTATGGGAATGTTCTGCTTGTCCACTATGTTTGTGTTTATGGGCCGCGTGACCATGATGTTTATGCTTGTGTTTCGCATGCCCGTGGTGTTTATGTTTATGCTCTGCATGGCCATGATGTTTATGTTTGTGATCAGCATGTCCTGCATGCTTGTGCACATGATCTACATAACCAAAGTGTTTGTGATGGTGAATAATCTGTCCTGGTGATGGACTTGCTTTTCTTTTGATTCTTCTTAGATGATTCACAGCAGTCTCATTGAAATTCAAGTATTTGCTGTCCCTCGGATTCCCCAGCCTGAAAAAGTCGAGATAGAATAAGTGCACATTGTAATAGTATAATTAGTTGAATCAAGCTTTTGTTGGTTTTATTATTTACATCAAATGTATTACCTACTGTGTACTTCGTCATATATCACACATACATACACAATCACTGTTTTGTTGATTTAAACTATATACTTAAATAAGTAAACATTTACCTTGCCTTTCCCTTAGTTGTAGATGTGAATTGAAATCCAGAATGTTCTAAAAACTAAATGCACGATAAAACTTACATATAAAGCATAACAGGTACACATAAAATGTACAGAACTGTGAAAAATATCTTAGAAACATTTATGTATGTTCAGATTATGTTCTTTCTGCACATGTATTCTGGATTCTCAAACTAAATAAACCAAATATATAACAGTTTTCATTTTTTGCTAATTATGTCCTCAACAGAGTCAAAAAAGCTATCATCACTGGATTTCCTTTCAATAATATCGTGGCGATTACTATATGCTGCGTCATGATCGTGATGTCCATGTCCATGTTTGTGTGAGTAATGTCCGTGGTGTTTATGTCCGTGTTCGTGATGCCCGTGATGTTTGTGACCGTGTTCACCGTGGCCGTGGTGTTTGTGGCCGTGATCATGATGGCCGTGGTGTTTGTGTCCATGGCCGTGTTCTCCATGATGTTTGTGTTCGTGTTTGTGACCCCCATGATGTTTGTGTCCATGTTCGTGGTGTCCGTGATGTTTGTGATCATGCCCGTGTGATCCGTGGTGTTTGTGGTGGTGAGACGCTTCTCCGTGGTGCTTGTGTCCATGTTCATGGTGCCCATGATGCTTGTGGTCGTGTCCGTGTGATCCGTGGTGGCTATGTTTGTGGTCACCGTGTCCGTGGTGTTTGTGACCGTGGTCGTGATGCCCGTGGTGTTTGTGGCCGTGGTCGTGGTGTGCGTGGTGGTCGTGTTTATGACTCCCGTGCCCGTGATGCTTGTGCTTGTGTTTCCCGCTTCCCTTGTGTTTGTGGTGATGCTCGCCGTGTCCGTGGTGTTTGTGGGAATGCTTGTGACCCCCGTGGTGTTTATGCCCGTGCTTGTGATGGCCGTGGTGCTTATGCGAGTGTTCATGCCCTCCGTGATGCTTGTGGCTGTGTTTCTTGTGACCAGTATGTTTGTGTATGTGAGCTACGTGGCCTGTGTGTTTGTGGTGATGTTCCACTTTTCCGTGTAACACGTGCTCTCCATGGCTTTTCTTTACATAGGCGTATGCTGGAGCCGCCGCGGGGGCAAGGTACCTAGGAGCATGGTACAGAACGACACCCCTTCTGAATCTTCTGAAACAGAAATACCATAATTTGTGTGTTTAAAACTTTACTGATCATAAAAAGTACTAAAAATTAGATAAACATCTTCTTTTTAAATAGGAATTGTTGATATGTTTTCAGAAGGAGTGTGTTCGTAAAAGGTATTGGGATCTGTTTAGTTATATATATATATTGAATCCAAACTGTAAGTTATTAGATTTCCTTATATTTCATTTACACGTTTTACTGCATTACTAATCCTCCAAATATATTTTACAATTATAACTAATACCTGTTCATTATTGTTTTGGAACACGTATCTTGTCTATTTAAGATACAATCTCGAACTCCATTCTAGGAAAGTTCTTTGGTTAAAGAAGGAATTAAATTTGTATACTAATCTTAAAACTCTACTTCCATCACTGAACTAACAATAAGTAAATATAAGATACTTACACAACATTCCAAGGGGAGAGCTGAAGCTGAAGCATTGTAAGCAATTTCAGCAGAAGCGATGATGTATATTAACAGTTAGCAGCAAAGCACACAAACATTCTGCACACGATGCTGTTGTTTCAGCACTGAAGTCATTATAAACAAAGCACAAAGCACAGAAGAATCAAGATAGCATATCTCAATTCAAACTCATACAATGTACATTATATTTGTTAGGAAGCGGGATTGTTGTGGATAAGGATGTCCTGTGTAAGCATGAAGAAGCATTTTGTTAACATGTTGATGCATTGTAGAAGGATGTACAGTAGCTTGGATGGTTGTGTGTTGAAGCAATTTTTTTATAGGGTGTAGTTACCTAATCGTAGTACGATCTAGAGAGTACATTATCATTATCATTTTAAGGTCAATAAAATGGACTCTTTCGTTCAAATTCTTCCAAACGAATATGTATATTTAAAATAAAATAAAAACGTCTTTTAAATTCTCTGATTTTGATGACATTCTCGACAAAATGATAAATATTATATTTGAATGAATTAGCAAACCTTTTTTTGCCGCGGGAAGATTTGTTTTGGTCGGAAAGGATCATTTTTAACAAATAGGTTTTAATTATTTTATGACAACCGGTTTTTTAAACCGCTAAATAGATTCACTGGTCAAGTCAAAAGGTGAACAACTTAGAGAATTGCATTACCTACTTTACATCCATTAATCACTAAGACATAAAAAGTGGCAAACCACCTGTAATTATCCTTTGACGCTAAGCTGTTCTCAATTATTATGTAAATAAAGAATATCTTCTTTTGTCTAAACTGTGGTACAATATCCCCTTTATGAAAACATATTCAAAATGTAATTGCTTGCTTCAAATTAGTCTACATATAGGCCTAAGTAATATCTGAGTGGTTGATGTAGTTTCAATTTTAAATATTGAAAGTTAAAGATTTCCCTTATAGATCCTGTGATGCAAATTTATTTACTTATTATACAGGCTGTTTGTGAACTCTCTGGAAAAACTTCGCAGGATTGTTCCATGGGTTGGTACAAGAATGTTTTACATTAGATACATGGGTCGCCGGAGCCTCGTTTTCCGGATGTCCGTCTTTATGTGTTTTATATAAATAACTCAAGTTTGAATTGAGGAACAAACTTCAAATTCGACAAATTAGTAAATCTCTCTGTGATACACAAGCATGCAAAATTTAATTTCGTTGACTAAATGTCATTACTGTTCTGTGATACTGTGTGATTTCTGTTTCAAAATGGCGACCATCTAATGTCTTTGACGTCAAATTAAATTAAAAACAGTAGTTTCAAAATAAACACAAGAATAACAAAATGTGGGAAATTTAATAAAATCAAATAACACCTAGCTTTTAAATATAAAAACACATGCAGCTGAGCTATTATTTTTTATAATTAACTGCGATATTTTGTTATTGCTGGGAAACCAATTGTTATTGTTTATTTTTATTTCTTTAAATCATCTGATTCCTTCTAAATTGTTACAACAAAGTAAACCCGTTGGTTTCCACTCCCAACAACATTTAGTTTTTGTTACTAGGAAGTTAAACGTATTAAGTGCCTATTACAAAGTAAGGGTACATTACGTAAACAGATTTCAATAAGTTAAAAATAGGACACATAATTTCTTTTTAAACTAGCTGCATAGGGAAAACCTACAGTGAACGCGGTTATTTATTTTATGCACATTCATCGGAAACTCTATTCCCTCCTGGCTGGAAGAGCCAGGTACAATCAATGCCTCTGTTCAGTAAAAATGACCACCCAGTAACAATTTAAACCAAATTAAAATATAGATATATATCCAACCATTTATGTGTCAGAATTTCTTTGCTTCGTGTCACCTACAAATTTGAGAAAGTTCTCATGTTAATTGCGTTTTATTCATCCAGGTTCAGCATGTACAGAAAAAATGAGTTATAGGCTAGACGAAGTCTGAGCTAGTTTTTACAAAAATAAGCAAATATTACAAATTGCATGCGTGTGGAACCAACCCCTACACCTCTAAAGTACCATTTTTACAAGTTTGTTTATACTTACTGTCCGCCATTGGGGGAGACAAGTTGCACGGCACCAGCTGTACACAGGCTAACCAGTGCAGCCAACACCTGAAATGATTCTCCCATTAGTAGTGTAAACACAGCTACAAATATGTAAAATATGCATATTAGGGTTATCTCAAAATATAGAATAAATCTTACGATGTTGCTTTACTGTTAGCTTATAATACCAGAGGGCAAAACACTAAATGTAAAAGTATTTAGGTACGCGAGTTGCGTACACTACTTTACCTACGACACTGTTTTAATTACTATAATCCTCTCAGTGGGTTTAGTGTTTGTAGTGTTTATGGGGTTTTTTATAATCCTTTCCCCCAACCATTAGTGAATGTTTTAATTACTAACAATCACTACTAATCACTTTTAAGAGAGGTCATGTGTTCGTTTATAGCCTCTGACAGTGATGCAGGTACAACGAAACATGCACCAAACACAATGCACCAATCAACAATTAAATTGGCCTGGACAGCTGATAAGTTTAAGTTCGCATCATTACAATTTTACTTCTCTCTCAATCCTTGAATCTCATTGGTCCATTACCCGTGTTGTTATGAGTAAAACTATTTTGTTATGAAAGTAAACAATGCTGTTATATTAAACTTTTCAATTCTAAGAACTGAACTGAAACGGCTACTTTATAAAACGGTCGTAGGGAAATAGTGTTAACGACACTCGTAGAAAATGTAAGGTACGAGCCTAACTATTAAAATTGAGTTTAACTTGTCTATAACGATAACTAATCTAAGAAGTGTGTTTAAACTGTGCTTAACTTCCGATTAGGAATGCATTTTTACAATAATTATTTCCCCACCGAAATTTATGTGGATGTCCTCAATGAACTTTTTTACAATATACAAATCATCTATCGATAATTATTAATGTAGTCCCGAAGTTAAAGCGTTATTATTACATACTTTTGTTTATAACTGAATTCATTGTCAGTAAAATGTTTCCCCCAGTGACTCTGAATAAGCTTAGTACTTACAATCATCATTTTCTTATACCAATAGTTAATCTCACAACTTGAGAGTTGAAACTACTTGGTACCACTTTACTGTCCAAGATGGACTTGATCATCCTTGCCCCCAAGACTGAGAAATCGAAATATGTAGCCTATATTGTTAACGTGCCTTGTTCGTTTTCAGTCCAATAGAGGTGTCAAAGGAATACCATTAAATGTACTCTGAGTTATGTGTTATGTCTGTTATGTGTGTTTGAGGACAACAAATTTGTCAGCTGATTCTCTTCAATCTTTGATATAATAATTGATCAATGTTTCAACTTCTTTGGCGGACAAGTTATATATTGATAACTCTAAACTGTAGGTCATTTACCCCACATTTGGCCCAGTTCTCGCCCATTACACAGTATTGTCTGAGGCAGACATATGTAGTTTTTGTTTCGCCGAATGTGACTCAGTCGTCATGGTCGGGGAAAGCGTGTATAAGTGAGCAGCAAACACGACACGCGGCGCAATAGCTGGAGACGTAATGCATGATTGGATATGGCACATGGCTCCCACTGCTACCAGGATAAGTCACACGCTGTTTTGTATATTGCTTGGACATTTTTACTAATGATTATACGATTATAACCATCTGTTATCATGGTATTGTTTCCTGGACAAATGCAAAATTAACTCCCGTATTTTGTTTCTTCGAATCATCTTACTTTCTTTCACTGTGTTTAAGGAAAACTCTCGTTGCAAAATTAATCAATTCCTTAAGACACACACTGAGGTGAGTATTCTAAGCTGAATATGATGCACGGTAACTGTTGTGTTTATTGAGATGACTTGTTTCAATTGGTCTTAGGGAATACTTAAAATTCGCTCAAAGTATAGGACTGTTTTCATATGTATTATTTTGTTCTATTAAATGGTACCCTAAAATTAATTTCGAAGTTCTGGTTGCAAAAATGTTACTCATAAGCCTAACAGTGAAATTTAAATGTTGCATTTTGCTTGTTCAGTTTTCTGTTAATGTAGAAAATAATGTTCTGATACTCTAAATGTAGACCTAAATTTCTGTTACATAATTTACATGGTAAAAGTTCTGGTTGGTAGTTTAGCATTTATGTTTTACCTTATTAGGCTCGTGTATCTAATTTATTCGGGTTAATTATAATGTTGAATTTTGCTTGTTCAGTTTCATGAAACATTGATTTATTCATTTATGTTATATATTTAATTTATCTTTTTATACCATAGTAGTTTTAATTATAGTTAATATTGAAATACACTTAGCGAAACTGTTTCATACTGGCATTATTATTCTACTTTTGTTAAATTCATAGCCTACAACCTTAGATGGCTGCTTTTGTATGTACCGAAAATGAATTTGTGATGGTTGCTTTTTTCAATATAGTTTTGACCTTAAGGATATTTATATCACAAAACACTCATATATTCCAAATACAGTCTACATTAAAATTGTACTCTTGAGGAACTTCAAACATAGACAAAAAGGCTATATAAAGTTTATAATAATTTATTAACAAATATTACAACAATGATACACACAGTAACTCAAATTACACGTATAAAAGTACAAAACATGCATCAGTCAATTTCAACAATAAATAGGTAACAAACTGGTAAACAAGGTAGCGGCGACAAGTCGCGAACAAATAAATAAGTTACTACAGCAGTGACTTGGTGGGCAGCTATGAATTGACTTCTAGGGGTGTTCTTGGACCAGCTGGACTATCGGCTGTTGTTGGAGCTCTACCAGGGGCTCGGCGGGGACCGCTACTACAGGGGTCTGAGCCTCGGCGGGGATAGCGAACACCTGGCCTGCAGCGTCGTCGATGATACGAGCGTTAGCGTAGAAAGTAACATCGTCAAAGTCGTGGCTTCCACCGTGCTCGTCGTCAGGGGTGGAGTGGTGATGCCCGTGAGCACCATGGCCAGCGTGGTGGTGGTCGTGGGAAGCGTGTCCATGATGAGAGTGCCCGTGACTGGCAGATCCGTGGTGTTTGTGTCCGTGACCGAAGTGCCCGTCGTGGTGGTGCCCGTGCTCAGCGTGCCCGGAATGTTTGTGGCCGTGTCCAAAGCTACCCCCGTGATGATGAGCGTGGTCGGCAGAACCGTGATGTTTGTGTCCATGACCAAAGCTACCACCGTGGTGGTGCCCGTGTTCGGCGTGTCCGGAATGTTTGTGTCCGTGTCCGAATTCTCCTCCGTGGTGGTGAGCATGGTCAGCGTGTCCGTGGTGCTTGTGGCCGTGGCCGAACTCTCCGTGATGCTTGTGTCCATGGGACGCGTGTCCAGAGTGCTTGTGGCCATGACCGAAGTGTCCATCGTGATGATGCCCGTGACCGAACTCTCCGTGGTGTTTGTGTCCGTGTCCGAATTCACCTCCGTGGTGGTGAGCGTGGTCAGCATGTCCGTGATGCTTGTGTCCGTGACCGAACTCTCCGTGATGTTTATGCCCGTGAGATGCGTGCCCAGAGTGCTTGTGTCCATGTCCGAAGTGTCCTCCGTGATGATGAGCGTGGTCGGCGTGTCCGTGATGTTTGTGTCCGTGACCAAACTCACCGTGATGCTTGTGCCCGTGTCCGAACTCACCGTGATGCTTGTGCCCGTGTCCAAACTCTCCTCCGTGATGATGCGCGTGCTCGGCATGTCCGTGATGCTTGTGGTCATGAGCCGCGTGTCCGTGGTGCTTATGCCCGTGACCGAATTCTCCGTGATGCTTGTGCCCGTGTTCGGCGTGCCCGTGATGTTTGTGCCCATGACCGAACTCTCCGCCATGGTGGTGCCCGTGTTCAGCATGACCTTGATGTTTGTGTCCATGCCCGAACTCTCCGTGGTGCTTGTGTCCGTGTTCAGCGTGACCGTGGTGCTTATGTCCGTGCTCGTGGTGACCGTGATGTTTATGCCCGTGCTCGGCATGCCCGTGATGTTTGTGATCATGAGCTGCATGGCCCTCATGCTTGTGCACGTGGTCAACATGCCCCGAGTGGTAATGGTGGTGGGTCACAGCTTCGCTCGCTTTCAGATCATCATCGTCCTGCCTCCTCTCTGCCTCAAGTGGCACCGCCACCACCGCGACATCTGACGAGGGTTCGCTCTTTTGATCTTCAGCTGGAACAGCGTCTATCACAGGTCTGAAAGAAAAACAAATACATTTGAAAGTTTAGCCACTGAACAACGGCAAAGAATGTGTAATATATAGATCGAAAATAAACCAAATTGTGTTCGAAAGTTAATACATATATCATTTTTAAAGTTCTTAAAGTACTTAGCATATATCCCCTTAAATTGTTTACTCCGTCAGTTTCAGTTCCTACCAACTCGTCTTGAGTAATTTTCTTTCACTAGATTAGTAGGCATAGAAGGAAAAGATAGTATGGGAAACCAAAATTGAATGTAGTTTAGATTAATGTAGGCTAACTGGCAACACACCATTTGGATTTACTAACAGTTCACAAAAGCTTATACGGGCAGGAACGTTTGCGATCAAGTTTTAAGATTTAAAATCAATCAAAAAGGATTTATACACTTGCACTCACTACATCAACGAGCTGTCTTAAAATGTGGGACCTTTTACTTATAGCTCTGCATTACCTCTAATATAACCATATATAGAATTAATTCGTTTGAAAATTTCATTTTTTGAAAAAAAAGGACTATGGCGTGTATTGGTCTATCAAAAATGTTATGCAATATGTTTTTCATTTAACGTTCAATAGGTGTTAGTAAATACAATACAAAGATATACTTACACTTCAGGTATAGGGTCTGAGGTTGCTTTGTGTAAGCATAATACTGCGACTAGAATAGCTATGGTTTTTAACGCCTGGAAAAGAGACACATGTTAATAATATTTAAAATCACATAATTTCAGAATCTCTTCTAGATACTTGGAAATGTCAATAATCATTACAACAGTTGGCTCATAATTTAATGTTCTTAGGCTAAATTAGAAACATTAAGCTAACTTAAAAAATATAAATAACATAGATGCAGACTGTATGAGTGCCAGGAGTTAGGTAGATGAATTATCTCTATGCATTGATTATATTAGACACTTAAATACTTTAAAGAGTTTTTTAATATGAAAAGAACATTATGATCATTGGAAAATCTAGGTTTTGGATCGTGTAGTCTTTTACTTTAAATTTACATTAAATACTATTCAAAAATCTATTTTAGCTACTATTTACGTCTGTTAATTCTAGAGACTTTAACGCTGGTATAAAAGAAGCCTTTCTGGAAAAGTGTATGGAATCTAGTTTGTATACTTTTGTGCCCTAATAACAACTTTGCAAAGCATAAAAATACGTTCTTTTAGCTACAATTGGTCATTCGTGATCTTAATACACCAAGGAGGGTGTGTTTCTTACTTGGCAAGAGTAGCCACTGTCCTAGAGCGGCGGAGTTAGAGGAAGTCTACGGCAAAGCATCTCAGCGGGCATTACCGTTAACGGGTATTGTTTGTGAACGGCGCTAAACGGGGGAAGCAATTTTGACACTAAAACGGCAATAATCTGCTGGATATCCGAGGCTTTCGCCGAGACACAAAAACCGTAACACTCCGAGCAGTGCTTCATGAAAAATGAAAGCATTACGTCATAGTAATGGCTTCCTAGATCATGGTCTTGCAGGTGGAGAGTGGCCAGCAGAATGGTCAGGTGTACTTGGGTTGTTTGTAAACAACTTCCACGACCTAAACGGGGTTTGAGGGGTACTAAAGATTTTTGAAGAAACTATGGGACTCGCATTCAGTTAGATAGATGAACTACCGATTGGCATTTTGAAACTATATATCACTGAATTATAAAAAATTAAAACGTTTTTTGAAAGGTTAATCAATATTTTATAGAAATGCTCAACAGTATATTCAAATTTCGGTTAAATTCATTAACATCATCAGTCCTATTGAGTTTCATTTTTTTAGGTGTCGACTAGTTTCTTAAAGGAATAATCCATAAATCATGTCTTACTGGTATGAATTATGTTAAATAACAGAAAAACTGTTGTATACACAAAAATTCAAGACAGAAATCGTATATCAAGGAGTGGCGTCAAAGTTTAAGCCCGCATACTTGGGAATGTTACCGCTATTATTTAAGAACCGGAATCCATACTTTTAGCACTATGCTTAGTAATTCAATTACTGTACTATAAAACAATATCTTGCACAAATAAATTTTATTTTTCAACAAGATTGTAAAAATAAACTATTAGGCTACAGCAAATTTAAAGAGACAAAAATATATTATTGTATATTATTTATTTAATATTGTTTAAGGAGATAATTTTATTTAACAATCAACTATTTAAGGATTTAAAAAAATATTTTTCAAATGATTAGGATTTCCATATTAAGATTTATAAATCTAAAAATTTCTTTCTTAACAAACATTGTTATACTCTCAAATAGCTGTCAAAGATTTTAGGGGGTCCAAAGTTTATTCAGTTGAAGTCCGTTTGGTACATTACTGGTAAACACATACTCCAATATTACCTTTGAAAGGGTTTACGTTTTACTTATTTCATGTTACATTAATCAAAAATAGTAAAACTATAAAAGTATTAATTTGCAATGCAAAGTAAAAAAATTGTAATTATTGATAACCTATTATTTTTTAAATACTGTTTCATAAAACTACATACTGTACAGGTATGTATGTATAAGGTAGTAAAAATTCTTCATTTATATTTTCAAAATGTAATCATCTCTTTTCAACAAAACAAACTTATTTTTTACAAATCTCTTTTAAAACGATTTTTAAATAAAATATTTTGAATTGAAAACTAAAAGTGAATAGTAAACAAACATAGTACTCACCATGGCGGTGCTGGTTGCGCCTGTATCCTGGCGCTGCTACTGAGTTGCTACTGAGCTGTAGTGAACTGAAGTGAACTGTCCACTGTCCGCCCCTCGACGGTTGACTGTGCTGAGATAAGGCTGATATCGCTATATATACAAATCACAAGAGTGATTCGGTTGCGCCTGTCGCCATCTTAATTTGAGGGCGCCAGAAAAAACGGTCCTTTCCTTTCTCTTAGCGCTGGGTGCTCTGCGCTATAGGGGAGGCGCGCATTGTATTAGGGTGGAGTAGACAGGGGTGCAATGCGCATGTGGTATTGAATAATTGTACTTAATTATTTAACATTAAATCCCCCAGAATGTTTCAAATCAAATCAAATCAAATCAAAATCTGTTTTATTTCCAGAGATTATTCACAACATATACATATACAAAATACGAACAATAGTCCCGCATAGGCCGTAAAAGACCTGTGCGCGGGACGAGCTCTATTACAAATAGAAATATTCTTTAAAACTAAGACTAAATTAATCAAAATTACAATTAAATTACAATTAAGCTATGAGACAGCTACAGGAACATTTAATGCTAAGTAAAAGGTAGTCGAGTGATTGGAGTTGCAGTTACTGATATCTGTTATCTGTACGCTAAGTATTGTTTAGTGTACTTGTGTATTAATTATTGTTATGTATTGTATACTGAACTGATAAGTGTCTCAGACTGATCGAGCCCAATCTCCGACAGCCAACTGCTTACCGAACGTTTATAAACCTTTATGTTTAAATCTACCTTTTTGTGGAATATTCAATTTTTTAAACGCTTACTTGAACAAATATATTGATCAAATTTAAGGATGTTCCCAAATAAAAAAACCTTCAATATAGAATTTCAAGATAACAAATTAAATATTTCAATAAAATCCTTGAGTTTTTAAAACATAATTTTCCAATTTCCAGAGATCGTAATAAACTTTGTGATTTCTAGATAATTATTTTTAGGAAGAAAATCTAAAGATGTATGAGTCAAACTTCTTATACTAAAAATTATCCTTTTTACCTTAATTAGACGTTATTTATAACTAAAACAATCCTTTTTAACTTCGTTAATTTATGACTAAAACAATTTTAAGTAAGTGTCAATAATGTAAATTCAATATCGGATTTACCTAACTAACGTTTATAGTATCATTATTAATTTTTAGTCCAGCCTGCACTCTAATGCTGAAATAAATCACAGGTTGAAATTTTTCATATTGAGTAGTACGTTTTTTTACGTGATAAATAGTTGCACAAGGCCTGGTAAATTATAAATTTTAGTAATCAACAATAATACAATTGTCTCCAATATATTCATTTCAAAAGTAAGAGATCGTATAGACACATAAATGTAGAAAAATATTGTAATTGAATTGTTTTCTGTTGACGTTAATTTAAAAATGATATCTATTTTTCGCTGAATTAGTGTTGTTTGTGTGTGTTTTTTTCAACTAAACAAGCAAATACATATTTTCGTTTGAAAAAATGATTTGCACCCCTTTTTGTAACACCGATAAATGAAAATATAACATTTACAAAATAGTTCACTAATGGTTTTTGATAAGGTTTTCACTTTTGTGTGCAAACTTTTGTGTGATGCTATCAAATTCAATAAACTGTATAAATACATAGTATGCCTACACGTTGTTGTTTAGTATACGTTTTGCCTTGTTGCGGGATTTTAAAAGTATAGCTAAAATAATATGTATGTATTTTTTAGAATGTCTTAAATATTTTAAATCATCTTTCTTAGTATTTATAACCGTCTTAGCACGAAAATGAGAAAGCGTCGAACGAAAATCTTTTAGATTTTCTTGCTAAAAACACAGGGTTCCTTTTCTGAAAGGCATCGTACGTGTGCTGCTTAAAAAATATTGTTGAATATATTACATGGTGAACAATTAAATTTGCTGCTACTGTACGTATTATGAATTTGTTTAGTATATTTGACATTTCAATCACCCTTTTATGTTAGGTTTTTGCTTTGACTATCAATACAACTTCAGTATCCAATAGTCAATGGTTTTAGCTATTATTTATTTCTATGATGATTACATTGTCACAAATTTAAAAGTAAATAAGTGGCAATTCTATCAATCATTTTAGTAGCTAATTTTGTACCTATCCTAGACTTTCAATATACAACAATGCAATGTTTGTACTGTACAGTGCCTTCATGTACCAATCACAATAGACATTGACTAGATAACTTGCATATGAAGTTCCTCATCCGCCACATAACAATATCGTTCCACTCATTTGCTAGCAAATGTGCTGACTAATCGTCAATACCGTTGATTAGGCTAAAAATCAACTTATATAATATAAACTGCAAGTCATTCAAATGTCTTTATTATATCCTCATGGAAGGTTTAATGGCTATGTTTTTCCACAATAACTTTTATTATTTTTTCTATAAATCAGTAATTGTGCTTACTTTGTTACCCATTTTAAAATAAATTTAATGTCTAATACATTGACATGATTGTACTTTAAGGTACGAAAGAAGTAAAGTTGGATTGTCCCTGGATATTTTATAAGTACATTCCATCATCCGCAAATTCTTGTATAAAGCTGTTGCGAAACCAGTTTTACAGCACCCACTAAATCTAAATAGTTGTAACCAACTATCTTTTAGTACCGTTTAAGTTATTTAAAATGGTTTAAATTACATTAGGGTCACCATAAATCTGGAATATACAGGGTGTCTCGGAACTCTCTGGAACTTTTCATATAGAATTGTTCTTTAGATCGAGACAAACACATTTCACCCTACGAACACGGTCCTCCGGTTAGTAACTTTGCGTATGTTGGTATTTATGTGTTTATATCAATTATTTCATAAGTCAAGATTTATTTAAGATAGAAACTTTAAATTTAATATAAATGCGTATCTTAATAATTAAAATAATGGCATGAAATTTCGTTGCTAAATCTTAACAGATTTCAAAATAGCTGTCATTTAAAAATATTTTAATGTCAAATTTCATAAAACCCGTTACAGCTACAAACCATTATTAAGAGAGGTAAAAATGCACAGTAGAAAGACAAATTAAACGGCACCTTATTTACTTAAAACACCACGATAAATTACCAAGTAATTATTGTTGGAAATCAATTCAATTTGAATAACACCACATTACACACCTAAAACATCGTTTCACAGCACATATGAGATGCGGCCCATAATCAATCAGCTGTTTTATGTGCACTTCATGGTAAACATGTATCAGCCTCTTATTAGTATGTGCCACATGTTAAGAGAGAAAAAGGAAACATTAGCTGTTTGGCGTCAACAATGTGTGTTACAACCGTATGTTGTTTTGTTATGAATTACTATACTGTGATATACATTATTCTTTCAATACCAATAAACAACTGGTCCAAGTTTAACATTAAATGGACATTAAACAGCTGATTAGTTATGGGCAGCATCCCATATGTGCTATGAAACTATGCTTTTGGTATGTATCATGGAAATTACATTTATTTACAAAAAAATATTACTACTTGTTTATTTATTATGCGCTTTTAGTAAATGAGGTGTCATTTGATTTGGCTTTTAACTGTGCATTTTTACCTCTCTTAATTATGTTTTGTTGCTGTAACGGTTTTCAATAAATTTGCCTACACAATATTTAAACGGCAGCTATTTTTAAATTTGTTTTTTTTTTATAGAGGGCCAGGCTTCAAGTAACCATGGGATTGCATCGCAGCTAGAACAGCTTATTGTGCACTTTAAATTTGTTTGGTTATAGCAACAACATTTTATACACTTATTTTCATATTTTTATATAATTTGTATAAAAAGCGTAAACGGACCGAAATACGGAAAACTAGTCACCGGAGAACCATGGTTATGATGTGAAATGTGTTTGTCTCGACTTAAGGAACAATTTTATGTGAAAAATTTCTGAGAGTTCCGGGACACCCTGTATTGGATTTTCTTTTTAATTGGGAATTTACATACAAAGTGGAAGTAGGATACAAAGTGGAAGTAGGTTAGTTAGGTTTTGCGCATTGCCAACATTACGTTTGCCTTGTTTCTATATCTAACACTACAAGAACAAACTTAAGTTGAGAATGAACCAAATTTAATTAAGAGTCCTCGGAAAATTTTTCAAAAATCCAAAAACATTATATATTAAAGACAGACTTGAGATTTAAATACATGTGTGTCGTTAATATTTTTCATATCTAATGTTGTTAAAAGTTGATGGAAATAAATTACTAATCTCTTGTTTGGCTTAAGGTAGATGAAGTATGACTATTTACAAGATTTAAAACACCGTTCCAATGAATTAAAGAACCACTCTGTTTAGGCTATTCTAGGACTAGTTTAAAAAACCCGCATGATCATAGTCAAAAAACTTAGTACCTCCTATTGGAGTGGTAATTTCTTTTTCGATATGAGTAACCTTTATACTAAGTATTCACAAATTTACTCACCCATTCACTTAAATACTTTCCTGAGTCATTTATTCGGTAATACTTGAATTCAAAATGGCGACAAAACGAAGGTAATAATGCCATTTTAACAATTATGCCAGATTATGTATACCATTTACAATTTTGGTTTGGAAATTTAGACTCAAGTAACGTAATTTAATGTGTGTCTATTTGGTTCGGTCTCCAAATATGAAAAAGATAATTGTAGACGCGTGTTTAGTCTATCATAAAACGTTCTACCCTATCCCTAAACACGCTACTAGTCCCTCGCTGAAATTAATTATTATTATTTTTTTTTTTTTTTGAAATTCAATATAGGGTTATATGGTTATATATCTTTAAATCTTCAGGGTGGCTTGGGAATTGTTTACTTTGCTATTTGAAACTTCATAAATTCATCTATGAATTTCAGTATCAGAACAGACAGAAAAGACAGGCCGTTTTTCTTGTAGTTTTGTATACATTATAATTGTGTCTAATACTTAATTAGGAATCTCTAACCACTAGGTCGTTGTAATGTAAAGAGCAAACTAACTGTTTAGTTAACGGTAGTTCAATAAGGACCTCTGGGACAGAATATCCACCACCCCTGATGACGGAATCATCCAAGTCGTTTTAC